GTCCTATTCCTCTTTCTTTTCTTCTTTTTCATTACTTCTTCTCCATCTGTTGTAGCTATGAGCCTACTCTATCCGGTCCCAATTTCATCCAACATTGGTAATTAACTTCGAATTTTTATTTCTATAAACAATTTGAGACACACATTCTTTAAAAGTATGCATCAACGTTTATTGTTCTCTCTTTTCTTTTTATCATGTCATCCCCATGACTTGTATAATAGTATTAATTGGAATTTATATGTATTTTTATTAAATTAAAATGTTAGTCCATATACTTTAAAGCATTATGCCTATTTAATCTTATTGATCGACTACAACAAGCTCGCGACTATAATAGAAACAAACGGTAAGCTCTTCGGGTTCTCTCTCGAGCGCGAAAGAGAGATTTGACAATTTCGAATGTTCCAAACATGACAAAGCGTGCATTCACGTCGAGGAATCTCGGTTTTTGATGTTTGCTGTTCGTCTGTGCTTGCTGTCATGCTGGCAAAAGCAGGGATTTCGACCGCAAGCAAAGATCATATAGCCTAATTAACTGCAAGTTGACATTATTTTATGAAATTCTATTATGTAGTTTAAAACGTTTCAATTTCGTGTATTAATTTTTTTATTATGCTTCTATTTAGTATTTCTCGTTAGCACTATTAATAAAATATTGACATGATCTACTCTTACTAAATATAATTTAAATTTTATGCACCATAATTGAAAATTTTTATGACATACCAATTAAATTTATAGATTAACCTTTTTTTTCTGTCCTCATAGGTAAAAATTTTGTCATATACATTGGACGATATGGTTGTCTTGCCCAACTTAACCCTTTTTTTTTTCCTTTCCCATTAGTGAGTTGACATTTAATTGGTGGGATTCGGACCATCCTCAAATTCCATATTTGGGATGTTGTCCACCCAAGGTTTTGGAGAATGTCCAAATCAAATTTCCAAATTTTAGACTCCATTTAGGTTTGAATTTTAATTAGTCTACTCTAATTGAAGGTGAAGGATTTGAATCCAACCTGTTGGGGATTAAAATCAAGTGTAATCACTCAGCCTTCTTTCATTGTGACGCCTTTATTCGGGCCTCAAATTGGTCACACCAAATGACGAAAGAGACAATGGCCCACGTGTCTAGACGTTGAGGTTAGCTTGGTTCTGATCGAGGGAAAATTCCAACCAAATAGAAAATCTGCTCACAGTCGACAAAACCTCAATTCCACTCGTGGAGGATCTTTTAACTGTCGGGATAAGATCCACTAAATGATAAGTACAGGTGCCGCAGTCACAGAGTCACGTTTTCTGATGCTCCTCTCTATAAAAGGTGGAGCTAACCCTAAATTCTCAAAGATACCTCAATCTCTTTGCATTCACTTTAGCTTGATCAGCTCAACACACCAGCTCGGATGAAGTATTAAAGTAAGACGTAGAGTGTACGTGGTCAAGCATCATATCGATGCAAGATTTTATTTGCATATTGCCAACTTACATCACGTCAGATGGCTTATTCATGTGTTATCGCGTCCAGAGTCGCGCATCGAACACAATATAAAAAAAAAATTATAGAACTGAAACGTGCTCCATGGCACGTAAAATAGGAAATCTTACTATTGAGTTTGTTGGAATAAATTTAAATCAAATATTGAATTTATTACAAAATATACTTATAAAGTAAAAGTATTGTGAGGTACCAAAATTTTGATAATGAAAGTTTTGAAGTGAGATTCCTTTGTCTTTTCGAGGGAATAAGTTTCCAGCGAAAATTAGGAGTTTCCTTTTGATGTGAATCATAAGCCTTGGAATTATTGCTGCTTGTACTAAATATGGTTCTCTTATTTTCCATTCATGATAAGTAAATGGACCTAAGAGTCTATTTTCCTATTTTTATACATTGAATTAAAATTAGTAATTTTATTTCAATATTTTATATTTTATATATGTACGAGAGGTTAGAAATTAATTTTGTTGGGTGGCATAAAACAACTTTCTTAATAACATTGAAATATGAGACATGACATCTCATATTTCAAAGTTTCAAAGTCAACCTCACTTAGACTCCAGTCTTAATAAAGGCCGAGCCAAGTATCAAGCGAAACCTACCCACTACCATAGATCTTATGTCTTGAATATTGAAGTGGTAAGTCGTGATTGTTGTGTAGGTCCTACACGTCAATATCTATAAGTACAGAGAGACTTCATACTCAAGTACCTGAATTTGATTGCTCGTTCTAAAATCATACAAGCTCGAATTTCACTTGACATTGTTGTTTTATTTTTCTATGCAGATTTTCTTCATACCTCTCAAATCCAATCTTCTGGAATTTGCCATAAAAAAATTTAAAAATAAAGATATTAGAGATTCTAAAAAGTTATTTAATCCAAGACTAATATGTACAATAAATGCCATTTAATCTTGATAGGAACACTGATCTCTTTTTAAATCAAGCTATGGTGGGAGTCGGAGAGAAATGATGAAATTTAAATGATTATTTTCTTCTGAATTTTGATCCAAATAGGCCTTAGAAAGGGCCCATATAAATAATGGGCCAATGTTCAGGCCCATTAGCGCCCTAACTCTCGTTGCCATCTTCGGGAAAATATCACCTAATCATGAACTTAACATTAAACTTCTTTTTTTTTTCTTCTGGAAGTTACAATGAAGTTCCCGAAAATTTTTAGTAGAAATTATATATGTGGTAAATTATATTCAAATAGTTGTTTAAAAAAATGCACTTTAATGTTAGCACAGTCACAAGAGGCTTTGGTGTTATATCAAATACAAATTGATTGAAGGTTAGAGATTGTACGAATCCCCAAATATCAAATACAAATTGTATTTAGTCCACTAAATATCATTTCTCTGAAAATTTCGTGCGAACAAATGATCAGCATGGGCCCTTTGTGCGGAAAAAAAAAGAAAGAATAGTTTTTTAAAAAAATGATAATAAATCACAAGTTTAAAATTTGAATTTTTATTATATTTTTTCCTAAAAAAATCACATCAAAAATAGAAATTTTTACTTAACATATTAATACCTTCACCGCTATAATTATTATTTATTTTATTTATTACTACATTTATAGCAATTGATTATTACTTCCATTATTTTAAATTATTCGAAATAAATGGTATCATTATCATTATTATAAAGTGTTATATATATCTACACTTTTTTTAATTCAACAATACATAAAAGATGGAGATTCTAATCCATAGCTTTTTGGTCGGGAATATATGCGTTAACCAATTTTATTGAACTATGTTCAGATCAGTATATATACTATTTAGTATTATAGTTGTGACCTTTAATTTCTTTCCTTAAGTATTGCAGGGCCAATCATGTCATAAATTGGAGTGTAGACACTTTTTTTTTCCTTCTTTTAAGATTTGACATTGATAATGTTAAAAACTTTTGCATTTTTCTAATAATGAATTCCTATACAACAGTATGCTACATATATTAATAACCAAACTTTTAATTTGATGAATCATATCCCTAATCATTATATAATTCAAATGGTTGCAATGTTGCTTGTATTCAAAGAAATATGATCATTACAATACTACCCTAGTCATCAAATTTAATAATTATCCCATCAAATTTATTGAATCTTTATGGAATTTTGTAATGTTTATCAATTTTTTTTTCAGTACAAAAATTTAGGGATATGAGAAATCGAACTTCCGACCTCGAAGAAGAACATGTCAATTACGAGTTATGCTTATATTAACTCTAATGTCTAGTAAACATTGGGAGGCGAGACAAATTATAATTAAATTTCTTCTCTTTCTTTTCAAAAAAAAAATCCTCTCTAGAAAAACAAATAATAAAATAGTGTCCTCGCTCCCACATGGATATAGGATAGTAAAGGAAATAGTATTTAATCAAGTTCAATTGTTGTACTAAAAAAAATCAATTTCAATTAAGAAATAATTATAATAATTATTTTATCCAACTAATTAAAATCTCTCAATTTATTCATTAATTAATTATCATTCATAATTAAATAATCCTTTCAATATAAATTTAAAAAACTTAATATTTCTTTTATGATTAAAAATTTGATACATGTTGAAGATTCTAAGTGATTTTTTTAATGGAGTTAAGAATATTTTAATAATAGACCACTGCCAACTTTAAAAGTAATATTCTCCAAAGCTTAGAGAGAAAGTGAAGGATTGAAAGAACATAAAGATGGAATATTCAAATAGAACAATTAATTAATTAGAATCTAAAACCTAAATTTACATATTTTTTTACATAATAATGAATTTAAAATGATAAAATTTCATATATTCCATAAGGTTGGCATTAAAGTATACATTCTCTCTTTTTCTAACCTCATATTTCTCATTTATATTCCTTCTTACATAAGTCACAAACTCCCATTAAATCTAAAAGAAAATAAAGTGCTAAATATAAAACACCATCATTCTAACAATAATTTTGTTTTTTATTTTTAATTAAATTAAGCATATTTACTAACAATATTCGATTTAGTTTTTCACTTTTCTAAAAAACATTTTTAAAATAAATTTTAACCACGTGTTTTTTAGAGCTGTTATTTTGGGTTATTTGTATAACAATTTTATTTACAGACTTCTATTTTTATAAAATCCAAAGCTTGTTTGCTGATCTTACTCCTTTTTAAAAACTATTTTTCAATACTACTTTCAAATAAAGAAAAAAAAAACCAAGATTTTAAAAGCATTTTGGAGAAGATTGCAAAACAAAAACAAAGAAAACTAGTAGTAAACAAAAATCATCATCAAAATAATATATCTGAGATGAACCTTAGCCAGGCCATTTCTGCATTTCGACTCATCTGAATTAGACTTTTGACTCTTATAAATAATGTAAGTGGAATCTTTAAAATATATATATGTAAAATATTAATTCAACACGAGAATTATTGTTATTGTGAATCAACACCTCCATAAGAAACAGAGAATCTACTCTATAGTCGCTCTCTCTAGACGATTACGATTAGAATAAGGTAAAGTTAAAAAAAACACCTTTTTTTTTTACTTTGTTAATCAATTTCACACCTTCACTCCCATGACAAAATTCCCAATATGCCACCTTTAACTGATGATCAATATTTGTTTGTGTGTGTTATTGGCTACACAAAGCTGTGATTAGCATTAGCATTGGCTTGCACCTTGGTGTTGTTGTGAGCATTGGCAAGAACAAAGTCAAGATTATAAAGCACAGGGACCATAGTGAGAGAGCAGAGAAACACAAGCACAGGTCCAAATATCCAAAGCAGAAGAGGAAGAGCCGAGTAGAAGAGGCGATTCCCGACCGTGTTCAGGACGAAGCCCTTCTCCAAGAGCTCCGAGACGTAGTCGGGCGTGACGGGGGACGACGAGTCTTGGGGGCTGTTGATCAGAACGTTCACTTGGTTCACAAATCTGATGGAGAGGGAGTGGCAAAAGAAGGAGAAGAGGAAGATGGTGAGGAGGGACACATATTTGAGAGACACCGTGAACTCGCCGTGGGCGCCGTAAACCGAGTCGTTCACCGGCTTCTTGATGCTGTACGTGCTGCTCAGAATCGCAGCCAGCCCGGAGGAGAGGAGGATGGAGGTCGTCGCCATTAGAGTTGACCCCATGATCGCATTCCTAAGAGTTTGGACAGCTAGAATGTTCTTCTTCTCATTGTCCTAAAGTTACATACAACGATACGATACAATACGATCAAACCAATCACTCTTGTCGTAACTTAAAAAGTATATATAAAAAGACACAAGTTTTTTAATTTTTCTTTAATTTGCTTTCTAAATTTTTTTAAAATGAAAAGATTATATACAAATATATAAATGATGAAATTTTTTAGTTCCTGAATGGCAAAATGAGAAACAGAAGATTATCAAAATTCCCTAAGCAAGTTATTGGTTTTCTGTCTTGTTTGTTTCAACTTCCTTTTTTTTTTTCCTTCTTTTCATTTTTGGAAACATTATTTAAATCTTAGCCAATATGGAAAAGAAAAGAAAAAAGTATTTTTTAAAATTACTTTTTCAATATTAAAAAAAGTACATAAAACTAAAAAGAAAAGCCCATTATGAAAAAAAAATACTACGATTTTATAGCAAACAAACTAAAATTATAGGTGGATTCCACTATACCCAACAATATAAACTAATAAGATATGCCTTTTTGGCATCAATTACTATATAATAAAAGAACCTGAATATGCATATATAAAAGCATGAAAAAATAAACAAAAAATATGATGGATGAGTGTGTTATTTTGTCCTTATGGATAAGGATAAACGTATTAATTTCATGGAAACTTTACTTTGAAGCAACTTTATTAAATATTTTCTTAATTTATTATTATTTCATATTCATTTTCTATGCATTTGCATTTGCATATGCATGGCATCTGTTTTCCTTAATGGCTGCCATGAACCAGAAGCCAATTTAAGACGACAGAAATTAAAATTCATCAATGAAGAAGAAGAAGCTTATGGAAGAGCCAAAATTTTGCATCAAACTCAAAAAGTTTAGAAGATAAAAAAAAAACTAAATTCATTAATCCCTTATCTTTTAACCATTTTAGTTATTCCCTATGTTATATATACTTGGGTAAAATTTAATAAAAATAAAACATTTAGACAACTTAAATCAGTCGCACCCGATTCATTGGATCGTTGACCTACCAAACACTTGTCCATAGTTCTTATAGGCCTCGTGGTCAACGAGAACTTATAATCGAGGAACGACAAACTTTGTCACTTCCTTAAAAGTTTGGAGAATTAATTAAAAACTATAATTTCCATCATGCAGAGGTATGTTACCAATAAATTTTAACCTTCGACAGGAGGGTATATAAGTAAAATGTTAGATATCAACAGTAAATTTAATCGTGTTTACCACTCTCCCCCACTTATGAAGTTGTAAATTTGTACGAACGAGGAGAAACCAACAATACACAGAACCTCTTCATCTGAACATGATTAAGTTATCGATGAATCCAAAAACTTAAGGTAAATTTGAGGAGAGAAACTACTTTCTCGAGAAAGGAGAGAGAAATATGTTAGAGAGAGAAAGTAGTTATTGATACCTTCATCATGGCAGAAACCCAGAAGCGTCGACCAGAGCTGTTGATTCCAATGATGGTGGTGAAGGGCTGAGTTCGAACCTTATGCCATAGCCATGCATGGTAACACACTGTCAACATAAATCCTAAAGGAACCAAAATCACATCCAAATAGCTCTCTTTCCATTCCATTTTCTCTCTCTAGATCCTCTCTCTTTCTCTCTCTAGATCCTTCCTTTGTTAATTCTACTGATATTCTCACAAATGCAACCACTCAACTTATAATATATATATAGAGTAAAGGAATGGGTGGAGATGGGAGTGGACTTTTCATTTCATTTTCTCTCATTCTTTTCCCAATATGCCCCAAACTAAACCACATACCCAACCAAATACTCCTCCATCAACAATAATCTAATTCATTTATGCCATATTTGATAACTTCCCTTTTCTAATTTTTTCGAAAACATAAATAAAAATATTAATTTATAATTCTTAACTTAAAATTTAAATATAGTTCAACTAACTAGTTAGAACCAGGATGAATAAGATTTCTTAAAAAGTTGATTCCATCGACATCGATCGATTGGTGTTGATTTTTTCAATGTCAAAATAGATTATTCGATCGATCGGTCTGATCGAAAAACATAAACATAATCGACTGATTGACGTATAAGTTATTTCATAAAAAGTAAAATAAAATAGCCTGAATTGTGCAGACTGCAATAATAATAAATGCAATCTGCAAAATTGCTTGGTTTTCTCAAAACGGTACATTGCATTTTTTTTAGAAAAAAATATCTTTTTTATAATTTTTTTTGAAATTCATCCCACCGCCCTTCTCCCCCTCTCTATTCTTCACCTCTGCCCCTCCCTCTCTCTTCTATTCTTTTTCTCTCCATTTTCTTCGCTCTTCTCCTTCTCTACCTCTCCTTTTTCACTGACGGACAAATCGTCGTTGTGGTTACCAATAAAAATAAACTTATAACTGATTGGTTGGTATCAGTTCCACTCTCACGTCAACCAATCAATATTCATACTTAATTAAGATATATACCATCAACTAAAACGTTGGGATTAGAAAAAAAAAATCATAATAATTTTGTCTTTACGTATATCACCTTAATACCAACTTGCTTCTCATACTACCCGTTGTAATGAAATAGAGATTCAATTTATTTTTGGGTTTATATCTTCTTTTTTCCTTAAAAAAACGAGTGAATCATACTAATACTTCAAATTCAATAAAGAAAATCACATAAAATGAGTATATAGGATCTTTTTTTTAAGTATAACAAGATATGAGAACGGATTCGAAAATAAAAGTTAAGTCAATATGAGAATTAATTCCTCAAATTTTGTTGTACTAAGAAAAATGTTGGAATCGGTTCCTACCCACTACACTAGCGGGGCGCCAAGATTTTTTCCCCTTGAAATTAATGGCCATGAATTCATCTCATTACATAGTTTTGACTTCTTTTTTTCTTCCAATTAATTATTTGCTTTTCTCCTATTTATTATTTTCTTCTCTTACCCGGATAATAAGAAAATTAATTATAAAGTTTTGGTACTTGGCACATGAATTTTTGTAAATTACTACTTGTTTGGATTGCTTTATCATGTTAATGTCGAATTCAATTATTTGGTAATTGTATTGTACGATTTAGTCCTTAAAAACTCACTCGAGTGCGTATCATTACTATTTTTATCATATCATGACAACGTGCCAGCTTTTCGTACCACTTAATGGAATTAATAATTTTTGTTTGAGGCTATAGAACTTTTACTTATAAATATGTTTAGAAAATAAAAAAATAGCTCAAGGTTATATTGTCATTTTTATGCGTTTTATATGAGTAAAAAAATGTATCAAAGAGGATTTTCTTTCCATGTTTTAAAAATTAGAAACATGAAATAAAAACCCCTCCCCCCCATTTGTATTAAACTATTGGAAACATTTCTTAGAAACCAAAAAAAGAAATATACAAATTTTCCCTTTTAAAATATCATTCTCCGAATCACCCAAAAGTTATGCTTTGCTTAAAATTTCTTACCCAATAAAGAAAATTTAATTTCAAGATATTTTAAAAGAAAAAAAAAACAACCATTATAGGGGAAAATTCCCATAAAGCCGAAAAAATATGCACATACACAAGAATGGTAGGGTTGTTATTTCGATAAATGTGAAGTGCATATATATATAGAAAGTGGAACATAACAAGGAACCTACGAAAGGCATGAAAAGATGAGAATAGAATGAAAGNAAATGAAGGGTTTTTAATTTTTTTTAGTAGTGGTTAGAAATGAAATAGGTGCCGAAGACAGCATAAATTTTATTTATTTATTTCGTCTGCCCTTTTACTAAAAAAAAATGCACTCAAGATAATGGTTTACATAACGTTTTTCATTTCTTAGAATTAGAAAAGAACAATTTTTTAATGTAGAAAATTTATTTGGTACAAGAAGTTTTCAAAACGGTTTCAAAATAGAAAACACAAACAATATTTGTTGTTTTTGTCTTGTATGTTTCCTTTAACATTTTTTAAGCTACCTATTTACGTATAATTTATTTTAAAAAAAAAATAGTATCAAAGACTCAAAGCCATGTTTGAGATGGTTTTTGACCTGACTAAAAATACTCCTAATTTAAAATCTTTAAAATCTTCATATTTGAAAGTAATATAAAAGTGCTGAAAAAAAAAGTAAAAAATTGCTTTGTGAAAAAATATTTGGAGAGCATTTTTGACCTAATTGCTTGATAAAAAAATTAATAAAAAAAAACTTTTAAAAAGTAGAACAAATCATCAATGCAATTTGTTACTAACCACTTTTTACTAAAGTGTTTATAATTAAAATAATTTTTACTCGAAATACTTCCCAAAAACCTTTACTTTAATTTAAATGTTTTATATTCTTATTGCCTAATTTAAACAATAGATTAAATGTAAAATTAAGTAACTTTAATCACAATTAAAATTGCTTCAAACCCTCATAACCTTCCATCCATCTTCATATACCATAGAATATTAGAAAATCCCATATAMTTGGAAGGTATCAAAACCCCACAAAAGAAGGCTATATATCGATATTTTAAAAAAAAAATACAGCAATATGTGGGGTGGAGACTAACTCATAATATGTGGAGCAATAAGTGGGATGGATATTCTAATTCACAATATGTGAGGCGAAAATTCTAATTCATAATCTTTTGATCGGAGATATATGTCTTAACCAATAGAGTCATATACAAACTAAATCAAAGGGAATAGCTCATTCTCATGAGAAAGAATTCGACATTCACCTATCTATTTGTCAAGGTATCGGATACTCCAGTGATTTTGTGACTGTGCAACAATTTGAAAAAATACCAAACAAAATATTTGAATTTCCTTTGGGTCATTTTAATCTTTCCACTTGTCAATATTGGCCCTTGCACTTTTAAAAAGTAACCATTTTTGTCCTTATTTACAAAACTTTAACATAAAATTTATACACAATGAAAACTCTTTAATATAAATTTATGACTATATTTTAAGAAATTTAGTGAGTAAAGAATTTGATCCTAAAATTTTGATAAAATAAATTAGATAAAAATGAAGATGGAGAGAGACCAAATGATCACCTCTTTAAAGTAAAAAAAAATAAAATATAAATTTTGAAAATATAGAGATTAAAATAAACAAAAGTTATACCGACTAAAAGTACACAGATAAAAGAGTATTTAATCCTTTAATATATTGACAGTGAAAGACGTTCCTTTACTATTCACTTGAGAAAAAGTAAAGATTCATCTTACAGAAAAAAAAAAGGCAAGAGTAGGAAAGAAAGAATGAATCAATTGTGAAGTGAAATGTGGTGCCGAAAAATAATACATGAGAATGAAATTTGTAAAACATATTAAATCTTTTATTATAAAATCTAATTATATTTTAAATTAAAAAATTAAAATTATCAATAATATTATATTAGAGAAGGGTAATAAATTAAAAATTAAATATTTTTAATAAAAACAATTAATTAATTAAATTTTAGCTGTTAATTTTTATTTAATCAATTTCTTTGAGTTTAAGATGTTCATTCCTCCACCTTAATATTTAATTCGTGTGACCTTCACAGCCACAATATAATACTCAATAAATAAAACGATTAATTAATTAACAATATTTAGAGCTTTTGGGGAATTTGGCATTGATTCACTAAGTAAAAGCTACGGGGCCCTAAAGCTCGTATTAGGTACAAAATATTTTAATTTAATCATATCAGAAAAAAAAACACTAAAAAATAACTCGTGAGAAACCCACATTCATTTATAATATTTTCAACTAAGAATTCATTAAAAGGAGCATTGAAGAAGAAAGTTTATTAATTTTTTTGAGATTAATTAGCACCTATATTAGATGGGAATCTTACTTAATTTGGAAAATTCAATGGAGTCTTAATTTGTTAGSTAGGGCAGATTAATATATTGAATACGTATCCATTTTAAACATGAAAAAGGTACTTTTTTTTAATTAATATTCTTAGTCATTAAGGTATATCAATAATGAACTTTATCTTATTACCAACATAAATTTGTTAAAGCATATATCCTCATCTAAATGTCGAAGGTTTAAATTTCTATCCTATATGTCAACTAAAAAAAGACCTGGTATGATTTTTACTTATTCTAAGACAACTGCATTTTAAAATAATTATAAATTATACTCTGGTGAGGTATAAAAATTGTTAATTGTATTGTTTGTAAAATTTACTATTATACCCTTTTGATAGAACTAATACAAGTAATACACATGAAATAAAACATGTATTTTGTATGATTTGCGTATTTATAAAAGGTGATCATTTTGATCCCTATTTACACAATTTTAACATAAATTTATATACAATGAAAATTCTTTAATACAGTTTCATTGTTACATTTCAATAAATTTAATGAGTGAAGTATCATACTAAAATTGTGATKGAAAGAAATGACACAAAAATGGAAATGAAAGATCAAATAATCACTTTTTAAAAATACAAGAATCAAAATAGACGGTTTGAAAGTATATGAACTAAAATAAACCAAAGTTAAAAATATAAAGATTAAAATAGACATTTTGAAAGTATAAAGACGAAATAGTATCCAAGTCTTAAATTTATTTCTAAACACAAAAATATCATGCGCAAATTCTTTWAACTAACGAGTGTAATTGGTACTTATTTTCTTTTTTCTCCCCCTCCTTTTGTCATAGTTTGTCCATYTGTCCTCGTTTATAGAACAAGCCAAAACCTAGTGGGTATATGTCCACACTTTCCTCAATGCGAATTGAAAGGCAACATAGAAAACAAGGGACAAGAATATTTATAGATAGGTTGTTGTTGTTGGTGATGATTTATCTAGAGAAGGCCAAGGAAGAATTTTTCTAAATGCTAACCATTGGATAATAGGGCTAGTAATGGGGGGTTGGCTTTTGTATTAAGATGTTTGAAAATTGAAAGTGGGATGTGGTGGCAGACAATTGTTTGCATTCATGTGTGTTTGTGTTCTCCACGTAAGACCATGTAATTGTTTTAGTGCTCAATAGAACCTAACAAAACCATCAAAATTTACTCAGGCTTCATGCCTCACCGGTTCGAGATAGGAGGTTCGAATCCTYACCCTTTTTTTTTAGAACTGGGAGTTGGAATTTTACTCTTCTATATCTAGGAGCACCCGCGCCCACCACAAAGCTCCGACCTAGAAGATATCACGGATTTTTTGTATTAAACTGATCAGAACATTCAAACCGGTGACCTCTAAGTCAATATGACCAAAAAAACTCCAAGCCTTTGCTAATTGGACTGTCCTTTGGAGGCTCACCCCACCTTTCGTTGAAATTGGAATTAAGAATAAAAAGAATTAACTTTTCGARAAAGCTGGCTAATAAAATCTCACCAACTTGGCTTGGAGGAGTGGCCATTTAAAGGAATATGCCATCCCAAGACGCTCACCCACCCATTGCAATGTGGACTAGGTTGCTTTCAAACAACTTTCTTCTATATGGTGCATTCATGGAAAGTTCAAATAATTGTTTATTTTCAGCTGTCTATTCATCAAAAGATGTGTTTCTTTTTCCCCCATTTTCTTAATAGAGTCATAAGGCATTGCATTGTGGATAAGCAATAGCTTCAAATACTGAGACGACAGAACATGCAATTCCTCATTCTATATTTTCAACCCACCTTTACACCAACCCATCATACCTACAAAGCTTGTTTTCATTTTGGAGGCATTTTGGTTACTGCTAGGTATAGGGTCATTTTAAGGCAGCAGTTTCAAGTGAGGTAGGATTTTCCAATATATAGAGAACTATAAAACAAAAGAAGAATGGCTGACCTGCAAGATGATCATCTTGGAAGTTTTCTTGAAAGCTTTCGCCACCTCATATTTCCACTGAAGCTGGGAGATGGAAGCCGCTAAGCAAAGACCCTGAAAAAGTATGAATGGAGAGATTAATAAATAATGCATATCATTTGACTTTGAGAAAGCGGTCGTAAGAGGCAATCAAGCATGCTTCTCAAATTAATCAAAGTTTGAGTCATTAATCTAAAGACGCAAACTCTGTGGTTTGAGCTAATGTTTTATGCTTGATCAAATGCAAGTCAATCTGAGGGTAGTGGATAATTACTACTTAAGACTCTTAAATGTGTTTGGTTTGCCTTTCATTGCCGTTCCATTCTTCAAGAATAAGAATCGTGATAAATGCTAATAAACTAGAAGGAATTCTCACTAATCTTATGGAACCAAACTTCCATTGACAAAGTAAATATAAAAGTATGAGATAAAATAGTAACATTTTATTTTGTTTTAATCAACTCCTRCGTTATTTTGCTTTGATTTACTGGTGGTACAGTTTTGTYAACGTGACATCTTTTATACAGGACTATCACACGATTCACRTTCACATCATAAAAGTAACAGAATTAATAAATAGCAGAATCAATAAAGATGATTCAAGCTCAAAATGATAAAGATCCTGATAGGAACCAAACAACTAGAAATATATTGAAATATAAAAGATGGACYCTCCCTCTCTTTAATATTCTTATTCAAGTCTAACCCACGCTAAATAATCACATACCTCAATCCCTTTTTCACTCACTCTATAACAAATCCCTCCTAACTACTTCCCTAATTACTTAGTAATATATTCTTGATACTCTAAGAATATTCCTCATTCTATCCTAATAACAGTTGTATCAGACCCAGGCTCAGTAAGCTACAACTCCAAATACATGTCAGGAATTGACAAAGGAGTGCCTAAAGAGGAAATAGCACCTAGTTTTCTTCAAATGCGGAGAAGATCGATTCAGAAAGTCGATAATAAATATCAGATAAGGTTTCAAATGTCATTAATATTAAGAAAGACAACATCACAGAAGAGGTTAGCATCAAATTTACTTCAAAAAGAAAAGCAAGATTAACTTGAAGATATGTAAATATATATACACACACATGCACAAACATGTACAGGTACGTATGTTTCCAGCTACATGGATCCAGAAAGTGGAGATAGCTAGCTAATCCAGAAACTATGTAGCAGCAGTTAGAAAAAGAACAGCTCAGAATAATTATATCTCACCAACATATCTGGGAAGTGGGAGAAAGATAGCTTACATTTCTCCGCACTTTGGAATATGGGAGACARCGCAAGATATCTTTCAGGTAAGAACATGTAAGGTACCTTTCAGTTAAAAATGGTGAGGAAAAAGAAGAGATGCTAGAGATTGGAGTAAGATTATTCCGGGAAAAAAATGCTGAACAAATATTACCTTACCTGCAGTTTTGGTGCACAAATTTATCTACTGTTTTGGTTATAATAGCTGAGTTAGAACAATTTCTAATCTCCATATTTGAACCCTATGTAAYGTTTTGGTCCTTAAAGATTTTTTAATTTAGTATACAAAATTGTTCTTAATGAGTCAATTTACTCTTGATGCTTACAATTAAAATAAATATTTCTTTTGGGTTCCATGACATGTTAGTGGCATCTATCCAAATAGCAAGTCATTGAATTACTTTTCACCTTTTTATCAAAGGGACTAAAACATTACAGAAATATAGATCCAAAAGTTACAAAGAGCTATAACACGAGGCATACAAAAATTTTCAAACATCATTAGGCAGATGGACAGTTTGACGATATCATTAACCCAAACCTTTAAGAATGAAAAGTCGCTGCAAATAATTAGTTGCAAAGGATGAAATGAAGTACGGATAGATTCTACCAAGAGATAAATTGGAGAGAAGAAGAGGAGCTTAAGGTATACAGCCATTGGCATAGACACAGACAAAGCCTCGATTTATACATCAACCAGTAAATTAGGAATTATGTGAAGGAAGAAAATAATGGCCACTGCACATAATGCATGTTGATAAGAGATTACATAAGTTATGCGAACATGAAAATAATTTCAGATCAATGAAGACATGTAACGGAATTGAAATCCACCTCTTCAAGCATCCAAGAAGTTTAGCTCCTGCATATTTTAGCTCCTGCATATTCCTCAGTGATTTCAATATTAAAACAAGCGAAAGCCATAAACCAAGAATAAATTCATTAGCTCTGGTAGGATAAATACTCAATGGTCAAGCACATTAAATAAAATACAACATTTCTTTTCTACAAGCCTTAGGCAATGAGAAGAACATCGCATTGGTGATGAGAGCTCCAAAAACTCAACTCCCCCCCACCCCGGGGAAAAAAAGATTTCATGAACCATCCCTTGAACATTTCTTTCATGATTGTAGATCATAATTCTTCAATGTCGTCMTAGTAAAAATAATAGAGAAATAGAACAAGTTAACTGTCAATTAATGAATAATGTTTTACATTTGTACATATACAAGGACAKGGGCCACTGTCCGATGTATGAAAGATGATAGATTAAATGTACTGGTTAATATTAACAGATGTTGTTTCCAACAGAAAATGTATTCAACAAAGATTTCTACACTTCATATCATTCGATAGATATTAGAGATTCAGAAGGATAGATCAGAACCGTCACTGAAGTTTGGGAAAGTGACACACTTGAACACCTTGCACTTTGAACATAGAACATATCCGACCTGTCACAATTGGAGTGCCTTGTTAGGCTTTTAAGTCAGTAATCGAGTATATGCAAACAAAAGAACAAAGGATATCAGGTATCTCCACAACAAAAGTTATAGATACCAAGCACTGGTTCACGGGCATATATGAACAAAATGCTCCAACACGACAATGCTACATGTTTTATATCAGCTAAGTAGCAGGGTACTTCATCACACTTTCATTGGCAAGTAAAGAGAGATCAAAAAGAAACTCAATGAATTATGCGCTTCAGTTGGTTGTTAACAACTTCTTATTCTGAGAATAGTGGGATGATAAATTTAACTCAACCAAGATTTAATGGTAAGTTCGCTTGTGGGATCACATCATCGTTAAGATGATGATGTAGGCTATTGAACTACCGGGTTGATATAGTAAGTCTGGTTAACTCTTTTCGATCAGTGGTATGCTATTTGGTAGGGGAACTCATATTAGATAAGTTTAAAGGACCAGTTCACAACACTTATTCTGCTTATAATATTTACTAAATCACATTTCTACCAAGCTATAGAGGTTTTAAGAAACTTAGCATCATCAAAATCGACTATAATGTCTCTTAACAGTAATCTAAGCTAGTTGCCAGTATAATTGATTAATTCTTAAAGAAGGGGCTGAATGGAGTGTTAGTGGATCAAATATCAGGAATTACACCAAGGAAGCTGTGAGAAAAATAAGAACAGAATTCGATAGAGAGAAAAAAATATTGGCCAGTAAAAATCGATTCAGGAACTCCAGTGCTTTGGTAAACAAAACGTTTCACTTCTGAGTTCAGAAGAGTCTATACAAGATTCTACGTTTACCAATACCAAAAACCTCAGATATCCTCGTTTAAACGAGAGTCTCGTAAAAGATAATCAAAATATTGACAGCATACGTGCAATTTTATCACAAATTCATCGCATTACTGCGACGGCATTGTACTAATGAAGATAGCAGTTGGCAGTATACTTACGGCTCTGCAAGATGGACATCGTCGGTAGATACGATTGTTCTCGGCCTTCACGTTAGTCTTCTGCCCTTTACAGAAATCACACACTATCCATCCTTCACCGTTACAAGGTTCACATGCAATTGTTGAGTCAGCCTTGAAGAAAATTGGAAAACAGTAAGAAATAGAATGAATCGCGTAGTTTGAAGACGCTAGAGTTGAAGCTTCCTTGAGAGCACATGAATTCTGTATACCTGTAATTGAACCTGTTGGAGAGATGAGCAGCGCGCAGGCTTGAAGGAAGAGCGGGAGGAAGACGATGGAGGAAATCGGAGGAGGTTGATCTTCGTAAGAGCCATAGAAATCGCCATTGGAACGAGCACTGAACAGAAAGCTTCCCCTCCGTCGTCACAAATCATTTGTGGATATAAAAGAAACCACGTCAGCTCCGCGCCAACGGGAGGCGATTTCTAAAGAATGAAAATTTTATCTTTTTTTTTTCAATTAATAAATTTTAATTTTAGCGATGTTATTATTTGGGATCTTTTTAATAATGTTTTTAAAGAAGAATGTCAGAAATAATTTAGGTTCCAAATTAATGACAAAAGTAAATTTTAAATATTCATTCATTAAGTATTGGAAAGCTGTTTAAATCTAAAAAGGTTTTTAGACGAGCGGAAGAGAAGCATACGTASGACAATAGACCCAAAATCTATTATAGGCGAAAATCGCTGACCATCATTTCTCAAGCTTATTGTTTTGGTAGGATGGGCACAAGTGGAGGCACACGCAAAGAATCTATAATCCATTGAAGTAGTACTAGTAGTAAAGGTACAGTTTCCTTCAAAGACAAGATGATAGCTGCAATTTTAGTCCGTGCTTAGGAATTACAGTGGTTCAGCATAAAAAAGCCTACCTCCACTCTAGCAACTAGCAGCAGCCTTCTTTCTTTGTTTTGGAATTTCTGAGTTTTTCAAGTAAGTAGTACTTTAGGTATTTATACAATGGAGAAATCAGAAAAAAACAAAAAATTGAGGTAATTTTACAACTTCTTTTTCTATTACAACAGTAAATACAAAAAATGTTGCCTTTTGAGAGAGAGTTCTCTTCTTTATCAGAATAATCCAAGTAAAAATTTTAAAATAGAAAAGTGATTCAAATGTAATTGGATGTCCTGTAACATTATTGATTGTGGTGATTTACTATGAGGATGAGTAAAATACTGATCACAGGACACCATTGATATCGATTTTGATTGTACTAGAATTTCTTATAGACCAACATTAATTTTTATTGATTTTTTCTACTGATAGCTACAATCCTTATCTATTTTTTTCTTAGTACAATAAATTAGGGGTATGGGAGTTTGCACTTCCAAGCTTGAGAGAAAGGATAGAATAAATAAAGAAGTAACCAAATTGGCTCTATAATGAACTTTATGTTTGAGTTGAAAATATTGACCTTGTTTGTGTGTGATATTTTTTGGCCACCATATATCTTAACATTAAGCAATTTTTAGTAATTGGTTTAGTACATTTTTACTACATACCGACAGTTCCATGAAATTTACGAATCTTACCAAAAGTCAAGGATGTTGTGCAATGTGTCCTCATAATTTTTGTCCACGGCCAAAAGTCTTTTAAACCTATAAGTTACTTTGGCACTACATTTTCTATTTTGTTCTTTAAAATTCTTTCTATTTCGATTAGTAAATGCTTGGAATCTCTTAATCATACTAACTTAAGAAGTCTCTCACATTCAATCGATGAGCTAGTATAAAAAACTCTTCAATACAAATATCAGAAAGATTAACAAAGATATCACTCCATATAGGAGCGCTCATTAGAAATTACCCATTAAATTACATTATTAACGATTGTTACCTAGGTATTTTTTTCATTTAAATTTGAAGAAATATTAATTACAAAACAAAAATAATTAAACAACTTTAATTCTAATTTAGGCAAAATAGAAAGTGGTAGCTTATGGTCCCAAATTCCTTTTAGCTGTGTGAGTAACATTTTCTAGTTAGACCATTATAGAAGTGGTAAAACTGCAACCTAAAACTTGAGTAATTAAAGGTTGGTTCGGTAACTAATTTAATTTTAATTTTGGCAAAATAAAAAAGAAAGATGATCTAGGCTTAACTCTCTTCTTTTGAAGGTGAAACCACGATTTGGCTTTTGATTAATACTTTCTCAAAATATAAAACCGAACATTCAAATACAAAAACAAAATCTTAGCCAAATTATAAAAAATAAAAAATAAAAACTAAATTTTAAAAACCAAGATTTATTTCTATATTTTGGGAAATAAATTATATTTTAAAAAAGAATGATAATCAAAACAGAAATACCTTTCGAAAACAAAAAATAAAGTTGTTTCTGCGACTAGGGATCTCAAAGTTTAACGACTATTTCATCAAACTCTTGTTCCAAAGTCATTGAGCCATTAGCATCAATATAACAATTTCCACTCATCGATCAGAATGATCTGAAACTGCATAGAAACGATGAACAAAAAGACAATAAACTTGAAAGAACATCGAGATTTGATACTGAATCACAGAAAAATGTACTTATGCTTACTAGACCAGCTTCACAGAAAATCTCTGCAAGTCTGAAGAGCAAAAGCAATTCGATCTACGAGCAGCTTAACGCCTCCTTTGCCATGGAAGTTGCAGAGGGGCTGCCTGAATTACTACTCGAAAACAAAAACCAAACACAATCGATCGTAAAATCGAATCAAAACTTAAATCCAAGACCAGTAATGCTATAACTGAACTCGCAAAAAATTAATTCAGTATAAAAGGAAGAATGTATCAGCCTCAACAAAGATTTTCACGAGGAGAAAAGGCCGAAGCGAAAATGGGTGAAGAGGTTGAAAAGATGATGTAGGGAACTGCATTCATCTCTAAGGCATTCGAAATTGGCCAAAGAGCCAAACTCCAGTCCCATGAAAATGCGAAGCCTCTCAAACAAATTCTCCGATTAAGAGATCGAAAACAACGACAAGGAAAAAGAATAATTGTCAACCCTAAATTACAGAGATCTCCACCCAATGCTCCAAGCGTGATGGCGCTGTAAAATGCTCGGCCGAAACCCTAATTTTGTTCATTTGAGGGATGCATACATTCTATATATAGGGCATAGGCATCAGATCAAGTTACGATTTTGCCCTTTGAGTTTCATCTTTCCAGTTCGATCTCGTCTAAATCGAAATTCCGCAAGTACGAATTTTATTTATTTAATTTTTTTTTTTTTTTAGTATTTTCATATCGACGAAATTCGAACATTTTTTTAATGTTATAAAAAATAACTAATTATTTATATATAATTAATTGCAAACTATTTTTAAAAATAACCACTGTACATTTCTTTTGTTTGTTTTTGTACCATGAGAGGTAGGAGAACGAACCCACAACCGATATATGTCAATTACCATTCAACTATGCTCGTTTCTGGTCAGATATTTATTTTGTCTATACATTTTCAATTCGGTTATATTGTTTAAAAAATTACAATTTCATTAGATTTTATAATTCATCAATACACCTTTTTTTATTTTTTTAGACACTTTGTTACTGAGTTAAAAATATTTATCAAACAAAAAAATATACATTTCATTTAAATATATATATATGAAATTTAATATTTCAATATATTTTCAATACCATCTTTTTCAATGTTTGGGAAAATTAACACGTCATACAACATATCTGTGAATCATCGTAATAATAACATTGTAGAACCTTGAATTCAAAGATCTTTTATTCTCCTGCTATATTGAAATCTTTACTAATTCTAAAATGTTAAGGCTCTATTTATTATGTTTTTTATTTTTTTATTGAAAATTAAGCTAACCAGAGCACTATTTTCATCTATATACCATCCACAACTTTATTTTAATGATTAGAAAGCATCTCCAAAAGGAGGTTCAATCCCAATCTCCAATAGTTATCGATCACCACTCTTTGCCATGCTGACCATCAACTTTTCAGTTTTTTTTTTTCTAAACAGAAAATATATATATATATATATTTTTCTGCATTGCACTCAGTATTCTTCCACTGACAATATACTGTTTTTTGCAACTATCTTCCTTTATTTCTTCCTTTAAAAGCAAGCCCAGAGTAGTGAGACAAAAAAAAAATGAATTCAGTTTTTTGGAAAAGCCATGTTAATTACCTCTCTTCACCATGATATAGGAAGGAAGAGATGAGCAGCAATTGATCTCATCCTTCAAAACAGGACACCACCATAATCCAAAAACAAAACTAAGAATGAATTGATATCAAGGCATGAGAAGAGAGCCATCACCTCCTCCTTGAAGGAAGAAAGATTCATAAGTTGCCACTCTTGGCTTTGGCTCAGGCCGTTGCAACTCTGTCACGAATCCGGTCGTCATTTTTACGAAGTCGTCCATATGCAACCGTTTCCATTCCTGGTTGCGTGTGGAGACAAAGGCAACGGAAAGTTAGAGGGGTGGATCAGAATTTCGAACCAAAACCATTTTGAGTTCTTAGCTTTTGATCTATTATAGATAACAGTAGTGCTCATAATTGCTCCAAACCGAAGCACATTTACGACAAAGAATCTATATTACCAGATTAGGAGAGTTAACATAATTGTCACAACTTAAGAAAACACTTCTAGTCAAAGAACTCATGCCCCAGCACGAGTACAAAACGAACGAGAGCGAGAGGAAGAACAAAGCAAATGGCCATGCTGCATAAGCTTGCTACTAAAATTTATAACACATGTTGAAAACCAAGGAGCAAAGACCATATGTTTTACCTCAAAATTCCACTCTCCATACAAGTCTGGATCGCTTCTGTTGCTCCAGACATAAGTATGAGCTACAAGTCTCTCAGAACCATCCTGAGAAGAAAGGTAGGGGTTGTCCATGGAAATATACCAACAAACGGTCATAATCTAAGAAGTACAGTTACGGATATGAGATACGGATACGATAAGACACAAACATGGCGACACGTCATTTTCTAAAAATTTAGTATATGGATACACCAAGAATGCGCTTATTAAATATATATTTTTTAAATATATAACATTTCTAAACAAGAAGAAAATTCAAAATCAATAAGTTTATGCATCTTTATGATTAAAAGAATGAGTTTGATGTATTTTGCTCTTAAAATTTATTATTTTGTCCTATGTTACTATTGATACATATTTATCATACTTAACAAGTGTTTGATACGTGTCTAACAAGTATTGGATCCACATTCATTTCGTACAACTAGTATATGACACACGTCTATGAGCTAATAAGTGTTCAATATGTGTCCAATAAGTATCCAAATGTCCAATACATGTCAAAAACAGACATGTTACCCAAACTGAAGTGTCTACCCTTCTTAGGTTATACATTAAAAAATATCACCTGGGCCAAGATACATGATACATCCATTGCTGACTATCTACATTAATTCTGAACAATGCATGCATTAGTACTCAAGTGAACTTCTAATGCCTCCTACATTTAATTGACTACTCGTACACAGCAACACTTGAAGAAACTTCAAAACTAAATGGTCATTCAATGACAGGCAAGGAGTTCAAAGCACCAGGCAGGGCATATCCAAATATCTTCTGTACCTTCTAGATCACTATCCCCAATTAATTTTCTTAGTACTTATACTTACAAAATAAAATGGGTTTGCAAAAACGAGCAGTTAAGATCCAATATTTACCACCAAGGAAACCTCAACAGTGCTTCTTTTATATTCAACATCTTCAAATGTATCCAAAATATCCAGTTCAGGATTTGTGATGCCCAAGAGGACCTGCAAATGAACATTGTTTCTCCTGATGACAAGACGATAAAAATTTACCAGGCGCCATGTCCATGTCTATGTTGAAATATAGATTACATAGCAAGCTAAAAAGTCTTATGAATGCTAACCCATAATGAGACCAGTTGCAATTTGATTTAATATGAAAATTCCCCCAATGAACTCAAAATTATAGAATTTAATGGTTGGTGATGGATAACTACTCCAGCTAGAAATGTATTCATTTACGAACTAACAAAAGAATGAGGCTGCTGCACTAAAATCGTGACCAATTTAAATTGTTAAGCTAAAATAGGAGAATGCCTAAGAAAAGAAGAAAGAACATGTCACACACCTTTCCGGCAACTCTCTTGTTCTCTACGGGCAAAATAGCCGGATACACACGTCCTTTGATGCTAAATCTATGACTGCAGATTCAGAACAACAAATTTCCATAACAAATTCGCGCATGTGAATCCGTAAATGATTAGACGATGAACATTCAAAAGCAACATGGCAGGCTCATTTTCCTCATTAGTGTAGATACCAAATATGCAATAAACGGCACGATTTATTAGCCTAAGAAGTTACGAAGTCAAATTCGTACAAAAAATCACTCCGTTCATTTTCATTCTCAATTCAGACGAAGCAATGAAGCGACTATAGATAGAAAAGAGTAGGTAAGAACAGACTGACTAGCCATTGAGAACAGCAGAGGACGACTGAGGAATGCGCTTCAAGAGAACACGAACAACATCATCTGCTAAGAGGCTTCCATAGACGAAAACGTTGTGAAGGTTGTGCAATTGATCGGGAGGAGAAGCGGCAACCACGACCGGCGACGGCGCCGTCGAACTCATCTTTCGCCGGAAGCGCGATTCGCAGTGGAGCTGCTGGATTAAGGGGAAGGAGATGGGAAACGAGAGAGAAGCGATGAGATTCCACGGCACAGGCGGAGCATCAGCTTTTTCTGTAGATCGTCCACTCCACGAGTTTAACGATCCTTTTTTTAAAGACTAAATAATATATATTTGTCCCAAATATTTTAGAATTATCATTATGTATTGCAATATCATTGAAGTTGAATAATTGAATGATTATATAACAATAATTAAATGTATATATATATATTTTTTCTAGAAAGATTAAAAATATATTATTTTATATGACTTTCTTTTGTTTATTTTAGAAGAATTTGCTTGGTTAGTCATGACTGATGACAGAGAAACATTTTACTATTGTCAACCGCCATCATACTTTATTTGTTTACATGATAATCTTATCATTAAAGATTATCTTTATAAATAAATTTTAATGTTAATGTTCGGTGGATCTAACATCATTTTTTGTTTTTTTTTTTTACAATTGTTCTACTTTCACTTCTTAGTCGTATTTATTTTCTTGATATATATATATATATATATATACATACATACTTTTCCTTTTACTCAATTTAAACATCCACCAAACATTATTTTAATACAACAATCATTTTTTAAATTTTAACAGCGACCAAATTATTAGTGATGCTCAAATTAATTGATTAATTTGGACAGATGGTCAATGATGTGTGAAAAACGATATTTCCGTTTTTGCGATAAAGCAAAGAAGTGAGTTTAGTTTTTTTTTTTTTAATTTTTTTAAATGCTAATCCAAGTATATAATTGTTCCAGGGTCAATAATTCAACCTCTGATCTCGGATTAAAAATTAAAAGAATTATTTTCTCAATGGACCAATCTATCCGGAAAATGAAAAACCAATGCAAAAACAAATGTTTTTACACACCAAACTAATTACTCAAAATTAAAAAATAAAAAAAATCTACCAAAACTAAACCAAGTAAATATTTTTTATTTTATATTTACAAACCATATCGACCACACATTACACAACCAAATCAAACAAAAAATTTCTTTTAAAAAGAAAAACCAAAGATTAAGAATGCAAATCAACCAAAGAAATGGGGAAAAAACTAACAAACGTTACCAAATCAAGTCAATTTAAAGTATACATTACTTGTCATATAGTTCGATTCTCCATGGGATAAAACAAAAACAAAAACAAAAAAAAATATCAATTGGGAAATTGGTTCAATTTCAAAGAAAACAATTTATATTTTTCTCAAACCCAAATACCAATTTTGGAAAAGAAAAAAAAAACAACTTAACGCCCCTTACTAGTAATGCCAATTACGACAATTAAGGGTATTCAGGAGGCATGGTAGAGAAACCTTCCCGTCTTCGTTCCCACCCCATTTCAATCTCCATTCCCACAAAATTTCCCGCTATATTTTACAGGAATCAGGCAAGGATTCAGACTTCTGGGAGATCGAGTTCGTGAAGGAAATTATCCTCCCTTTATTATTATTTCTAATTATAATTAAATCTTTCATTTTGTACGAAGAATCATCGTTAAAAGGAAAAATTATTAAACCACCTAATAAAAATATTATATTTTTTATATTAAAAAAAGGGCAATGTGGGAAACAGGACAAAATGTCTCCCGTCTGCGCCCCATGGGATCCTAAACAGGAATTCTCTGTCCCCTTTAGAGCAGGGTTGGGAAAATGAACATCCCTAATGATACTCGTAATCCACCATTATAACAACAATATTGCAATCTTTTCATCTGGTAGCAGTAAGCAAGGGTGTGTAGATTCAACCATTGTACACTAAAAATTCATGCAAATAGAACGTAATTAGGTTTACAAAGAGGTACTAAAACGGGAAAAAATGCAATTAACCAGTCTTCTTTTCCTTTCTCTTTTTCCATTTTTTTCCTTTTTCATTTTCCAGGAAAGTAGAATTGGCCTAACCAGATAACAACTACCAGCAGCACTTTTAGCAAAGATCCCTGCATTGGCATTATATGTTCATCGGTTCGGGACTAGAAGCATTCAGAACATCCAGCAATGAATTTTTAGGCTCTATTTCCTCATGCCATAGCGGAAGCTGGTCCCCAGGATAGAATTTTCTTGTCACTCCCTCGGAATTTATCTGCAAAAATGCCCGAGTTTACACTACGCTTCCTCGCAACAAGAACAATAGATTGTACATGTACGTGTTTTAAAGTAAAGTAACAGATTTTGTGATAAAAGGACATTATCTTACAGTAACAGTACGAACAACACCACCACTAGCACCATCTCTGGCTATGGCAAGAGAAACCGCCTTGACCACCAATTGCTGCAAATGATAGTAAACAATCAGAAAAATAATCAAATCGACGAAGTTTAACCAGTAAATCTTCTTGCACTGAATAATGAAAAAATAGACAGAAAGTAAGCTCAGCCGATTTGCTTTAGCCGTAGGAAGTGTGCATAGGATTCAATCTTTTGCCTCAGAGTTTGCATATTAAGTAGTGCTTCCTTTAAAGTGGTTAGAGAGAAGTATTGCACTTGAGAGTGCTAAGAGAAAAAGAATTAACTGCTCAACTTTAAGTATTTTACTTAATTAGTGCTCCCTTCAAAAGTACTTATTAAAAGAAAAATAAAGTATTTTACAACTTTTCTTAAAAGTCGTAACTACTAAAAATAAAGTCTCTTACAGGTAAACTTCCAACTATGAGGAATGAAGAACAGGTAAATAATCATATATTTAGTAGTGGTCCGAGCCCAAAAGAAAACACTCAGAAAATAATATTGTCAGCAAGCAAGAAGCATGACAATGCAGAACCTTTAATTCAAAAATAATAGTAGTATACAAATACCTCAGCTTCTTCCCTGATCATTCCTTCTCTCCAAGCTTGATCAAAAAATCCATACAAATAACTGGAGCCAGATCCTGTAAAATAACAAGTGGAACCAGGTAATGGTCATACTTGTAAGTTGCAAGCAGAGAACAAAGGATTTTAACAGCAAATGTCAGACATCTAATATCCAAAAGAAAAATGTAGGAGGATATTTTCTTGACTAAAGCACTTCCATGCTTGAGAACCCTATATGGGTTCAGTTTAACAAGAACCAGATTCCGAATCATGAAAAACCAAATACAACTCGTTCATTCAAGGATGATAAAGCAGAAGATCATATCATAAAACTTGCATATAAACACACAAGGATACCAGGAAAGAAAAAAGTCACCAAACCTCGTTATTTTCTATAAGCAATTGGTAAAAAAGGTTTTACCTCCAATAGCAAATGGCTGCTCTATTATTGTTCCACCAAGAGGAATACCATAGATTCGACCACCGTCATACTTGTCCCATCCACCAACAATAAGGCCAGTTTGTAACATATCCTGCCCATTCGAACAAATGACATTGATGTTAAAGCATGGGTTCAATCTGAATCAAGAACAAGATTATAGCCACACTCAACATAGCAAATGCCAAATAGCAGCTTCAACAGGTCGTATAGCAGTCGCCCTTTAGAGAAAAGAGAAGGGTCCTATGGATCAATATGATTTTGGCTATTTTATGGCCCTGGTTGGAAAGAAACAGTAGGATTTTCTATGAATGAAAAGGTTTCTCTTGTCTTGCTATATGTGATTATTCTATTTCCATGATTTTGGCAAATCGGATAGCCCTTTTCTAACTCCTTGGCTGGATTGGGACAATTTGCAATCTTTCAATGAAATGTTATTTTTAAATAGCATCGCCCGAACTCGAACGGGAGACCTTCAGTGTGTTAGACTGAAATGTTATTGTTTCTTATCCAAAATAGTTATACATATTTTACCAGGCAATAATTCTGAACAAACTAATATGAGCCCCTACCTTGTTGTTATATGATAATAGCCTGACGAGGTTTGCAGCCACTTTAACAGTAGCAGGCTGGCCAAGCTGTATCCTGTGCATCAAAGGTAAAATACAATCAGTAAGAGCTCAACATGTAAAAATTTGAATATAAATTCAAGTGGCTTCATTACTTATATCACATAAATTAATATTAGCAAAAACTAAAACCAGAAATCACAGAAATGAGTACAATCATCTTCGGTGACTTGTCAGCAAAGAGAAAATTATGAAACTGAGGTAGTAAAAGCAATTTAGTATTAAAAAGAATAATAATAACAAAATCAAGATTATCAGCAGCAACATATTTTAAGATAGATCGTACAACAGAAATTTTAACATATTTTGAGATCACTTATCATTTCAAAAAAAGAGGGTGGATAGACAGGTACATTTACCTAGAGAAGTACTAAATAAAAACCATATTTAATGAATCCCAAATTACACATTCCTACCAGATCAAGCATATCTAGTGCTATAACATTAATCATCAGGACGACATGACCTATACACTGAGTATTTTCCTTACCGATCTAGTTAACATATTGGTCAGTCATCTTAATAAGTAAAGGAAAAATCAAGTCATTGCCCTTCTTCCTCCAACACCTTCATCATTAATTCATGGGTCAAATTAATTTTATAACACAGAATAATTTTTATCTCTTTCATACAATTTTTTTTTTCCTTTCATACAGTATTTTATCTCTTTCATACATTATTGAAAACCACTGAGAAAAACAGACGAAAAGTAATGCAGTTGCTACCAGATCCTTCCAAAATCAATCACAAATATTCAAGCAAAAAAATAAAATCGCTCGAAGTGATCAAGTTACGTTTAGCCAACATTTCAAAGTTGCAACATAACATTTTCAGTAATTAAAGCACTCACGTATGCTGATGAAGGAAGTGACGCACATAATCAGAGACAATTTGTGAATCTGCAGCCTGCAAGAGGCACAAAATAAACCATTAATGAAACAAGAGAAAACACCTATGAACTGAGCCACTCTTACACATTTTAATTATAGAACGAGAAGTTAAAAGAAAAAACTTGAGAATTTAAGGCAAAGCCAACCAGAGCAAAAACTATTGAAGCCTTTTCACCATCAAAATCGACAGACAGTTCAATATGTGAAATAACAGAAATGGAAATACCGAGCCAGACCGACAAACATAGACGTTGTCAGTGAGCTTTGTAATCTTGTCTGATGCACGATTAGCCACATAGACACCTATCACAAGGAAAATAAAAAATAAGCCAACATCAACACAGCGCAAGAAAGCAGGCACGTACAAGAAAAGGCCGGAAAGCACCAACTAAGATTCATTTTACCATTTCAAGTGTAATTTTGTTATTTAAGATAGCTACGGAGTTGGAAAAAAAAATGTTTTCAGGATAAAAAGCTAAGAAAAACATAATTTGGTAGCTGTTATTTACAAGTTACTTTTTCCTCCACTACATAATTTTGTGAATAATGTAGTTCGTTTATTGCCTCCCATACATAATTTTTCTGCACCCATCGCGGAAGCAAACAATTAATTTTCAGTAAAGCATGTCATTTTAAGCAGCTGAGCTTGGAAAAAGCCCGCCTAAATTTTAGCCATGTAATCCTCTGAAAAATGCAGGAGATTACATAGAGAGGATCGAACCTGTCACTAGATGCCAATCAGGGGGAAAAATTACGCGAGAAACCAACCCTTTCTATGATTACATCTACTCATAAAAACTCAAAACAACTAACGTCAAGCTTAATTCCAAGTCTGATGGATACAAAATGACTTGCTTCCAAGGTCGAGAGACCAGAAAATCAAAAATCAGCAAACTACAACTTCCCTCCACTAGCATTTAATCATTTCAAACATTTCTTGACCATAATATTCGTATAAAAGAAGACTAGCACGCTCAGAAATTAGGGCTACAGAGTAGATGAGAAAAATTTACCAGTGCTGGTACGAGAATCGGCGCCGAGGACGACGCCGCCGTCGTAAGTGACGCCAATGATGGTGGTACCCATGGAGTGAGGAGCATTGAGATCCATGTTAAGATCCATTGCGCGAGAGGAGACTCCAAAGAAACCAAAGCGATGTTCAAAGAAGGTCGTGAAAGAGGCTGGATTGCCGGAGAATGGAAGAACTGGATTTTGATGGTGGGGGCTTTTGTTCTTCGACCTTACTTCTCCATCAAGTTGTTTTTTCCTTTTCTTTTTTTTTTTCTTTTTACTTCAGGAGTTTACTCGTGGTGTTATGGGCCCGAGCTTTCAAACTGGGCTCCGATTGAGGCCCACATTCGAACTAGTGCTATTAAAGCCCACGGTGGATAGCACTGTCGTAAAATTCCCAATTCTAAATTAATTGTATTTTCTTTTTCCAACTTCCATATTTTAGTACTAATTACCACCATAAAAAAAAAAATGGACAACTATGATGAATGCATAAAGAAAGAGATAGGAAATATGATAAATATACCCGAGTTTTATCCATTTTGTTTTGGATAAATAAATTAAATGAGTATATATTGAATCACCATGGCAGTTAGCACCTCAAATCTCAAATTCTAAATCATACTCGTTACTTGAATATTTAAAATCTAATATCATTAATTAATTGTAATTAGTTAACAACTTTCATCATTTTAAGAACAAGATTGTTGCTTCCACATATTACATTTTTTTTTCTAAAGAAAGTTACATTGTTTCTATAATTATGTGTGGGACAAAACGTAATAAGGACGACAATGGTGCGGGATGGAATTCGGGATGTTTTTTTTTTTTTAATATAACATGGTATTCATACCTCCGACTTCAAAAAGAGTAGATGTCAATTACCACTTATATGGGATATGAGAATGCATTATGTATTATTAATCTTGCAAGAATCCCTACTTTTAGACGATGGATCGAGATTTCTAATAAAGGAAAAATGTTGCTTTGTATTTATTTGGAACAAAAGTTAGTTAAATATCAATAAGTAAATTTAAGATGCATTTTGTATAGAAAAATAAGTATTTTATTATTTTCTACTAATATAGTTAGTTTTCAAATATAGTTGACATTTTTATATTTGATTTGATAGAAAAAGTCAGTATATTGACTAATAATTGTCAAAAATATGAGGGAAATTTTTGTTGTCATCCCCATTTCAAATAGAAATATGAAGGGGTAAAACTTTGTCATTTCTATTGAACAATTTTCTCAGCAACTTTACTCCATAATCAATAAAATTGAGTTCACAAAAGGGAGGGAAAAAAGTGACCTAAAGAATTCCAAATAAAATCTATTATTTTTAAGAGGTCATAAATTTTAATCCATACCCACCTACACTTGTGATGTTTTCATTTTAAAATTAATTTAATTAAGAGAAATCAAAGTGTATATGATTTACAATAGATTATTTCTCCATAACAATTGTTCATAAATATTTTTGAACAAAGTTGCTATAACATAACTATCTCTGATCAGTGTGGAATGTCCATTTGAAATTTGTATACCTCTAATAACTATAGAGTATAAATTTGAAATATATTTTGGAACGTGACTTAAATGATATATTACTAACTACATTGCAATGTCCTCTTCCAATAATTTATTTAAGCAAGTAATGTCATCACCAATAAGCAATGAGCGAGTTCCTTTAAAAAAAAAAGTACAATGAGCGAGGTATATTATTAATACAACAAGGATGGAATTATTCGAACTCATGACTTATTATTTATGTATCAATTATCACTGAATTAAGCTTATGTTGATTGTATATCCATTTAATCATTTATGATTACAATATCAAGGATATTATTTTACTTTATCATTTATTGGACTACATTACAAGTTATTTACACAAAATACACGATACTCTTTCCAGCGTAAGCATCAGTTTGAAAAAATAATGTTATTGTATCGACTCAAAACTTTAGTCTAATAAAGTTAAGATCAAAACTTTAGTTTAATAAAGTTCACATTTAACTCATTGAATCTAGGAGTTAAAATTTTCACCCTATTATTATATTATAAAATACCTTCGAACTTAGGTTATTACTATTATTATTTTGTTTTAGGTTAACACGTGAGGTGCTTCTTTAAAACACTGAGAATGTGTGAATTCTAACTTCTGAATTCTAACTTCTAAAACTAAATGTGTGAATTCTTATCTTCTAAAACTTATCTTACTCGATTGAACTATGTTCAAACTTCTAAAACTTATTTTACCCGATTGAACTATGTTCAAGTTATTTTACCCAATTGAACTATATTCAAGTTGACTATTATTGTTGTTATTAATTTTATACTTTACACCATCATAAATTTAGTTTTAATTAATCATCAATTGCATATATCATCCACAAAAGTTAAAGTTTTCTCCCAAGTTTATACTTTAAATATCTTGCCACTTGAGATATCACTAATCAACCATATCACTAATCAACCATGCACCCTTAGACAAGAAAAATACACCATCAAATAAAACTCTGAAACCACTTGTAATTTAAATTTGTATTCGACTGATGAGGTAAAATCATTGTTAGCAACTCAGTCTCCAGCTATAACTCTCATATTTCAAAATGGTGAAGAAAACTCATTAATGGAGGACACGAGAGTTGTGAGAAGAATCTCTGAATCTTTAAAATGGTCAAAAGCTAGGTGTTGATGGCGGCTCTAACAACGCAGAAGCAGAGAAGAAGAAGAAGAAGAAAAAAAAGAAGGCTCTATTGGGTCAGATCAGAAACAGAGAGTTTAATGAATCAAAGAAGAACAGCTCCAGAAGAACACAGGAGGAGGAAGAGWGGCAACATGGTTCTCTTATCTTAGCTCTAGAGTTAGCTTAACTTTCACTTTTCACTACACCAATCTTTCCCATTTCTAAGAATCCATGGCCACCGCAGTTTCTGCTAGCGGATGCACCTGAATTCCCGAGATGAAGGACATGAAAGGCAGGTGTGCCGCCATCGGTCCAACCGCCTTCTTCTTGGTGTCCTTCATAATCATCCCCTTTCCAACCACCATCCCGAGGACTTTCCTCACTTCGTTCGCAAGCTCGATCACCATATCGTCTTCGTGGCCTGATCAGACATACATATAGTAAGTATTGACCCAAATGGTTGTCCATACCAATCATCACATCAGAAAGCAATTTTAGTCTAGGAATTGGATCATTACCGATATCGAACAAGGCCTTCTCTAAACGGAATAGATAGTCTCTGTTGTTCCCACATGGGCCAGATGCAGTTGCAATTTGGCTGAAAAATTAGTAAATGAGCGTTTTAGAAGGAACCCATTTAAAGGGGAAGTAGACCATTGCAAGAACAGTGTTAAAATAACAGATAGTCTAAGCTTCTGCCATTTACCTAGCCATATCCTCCAAGGGAGCTGGTCCTAAGTAGTACTTGTTTAGTGATTTATCAAACGTGGATGTGAAACTGCATACATAAATGTGAAACTTATCAGACCAGGAAAACAGAGATGTTCTTGTTCACCTTGTCCCGAACAAAGATTAACAATTGGTTGTGTTAAAGAAAAAAGCTTACACTAAAACTCCTGTCAATGTGGGTTCCATGGAGTTTTCGTCCTGAATCAAGAAAGAAAATAGAAAGGAAATAAGAAGAGATAATTCAAGAASTAATCAATAGAAACTCAGTTAATACTGAAGAAAATTCTCTCATGGCCTTAGCCTTACCTTGTAAAAGTTTACAATAGTCTTTTGGTCATATTCACACTCTCTTCTCTCCAGATACTACACATTGCAAAGGACAAAAAAGGGTTAGGGAATAAATTCTGGTTTTGAGTGAAATTAAAGTAAAAATTGAGGGATATACCTCCATGGCCACTCTCTCTCTTTCAGGACCTCCACGGATGCAAAATGCAGCACCCCACTAACAGAAAGAAGGAAAAAAAACACTAATCAGGCAAGGCCACAAAAATTTTGGCATCATGGAAATTGAAAACAATGAATAAACTCATGAATGGATACTGGAAATTATGGATGAAATCTTACGCAAATGGATCCTTCTTTGGGTTCCAGCGTGAGAGTTCTAGCAGGGTGTTCAGGTGTACCTCTGTGGTCAATACAAGCTGTAGAACGGGAAATGGGATATTAGAAAACTTTTGTTGACAATAATGAATGTTGAAACTTCAAATGTTGATGAAGAAACTTACCAAGGTCAAACACGCGCTTATAATCTCTAATGAAACCAATCACTTTCTCATCGAAGTCAAATCCCGGATTCCACACCAGAGAACCGTAGCCAAAAACCCAAAGAACCATGACGGAATCGAGATCCTGCAAGAACAATTTCCCCAAACCAAAATCAATCAATTAGGGCAGTCAACATCCAAACCCCTCACTTTTCACTCTGTTCCAGAAATCCAGTAATTAAGTTTTGATCAAAAGCTCGTCTAGTACTTGAAGTTGAAGAAATTGAAAAGAAAATAGAAAGGCGTCGAAACGGAAATCCACAGGCAAACCACCAAACGGAGATTCCGGCGAAAAAACAAAATCACATCATTCGAATCGGAAAACGTGGAGAGAGAGAAAAGGGGGAAACCGATTCTTACAAGAACTCCGGAAAATTCTCCCGATACAGCACGAGACGAGGCCCGATCAAAAAGAAATCCCCTGATCAGCTTGAGAGAGAGCGCAARCGCAAGAAAAATGGCAGCAGGAGAGAAACGAAGAGAAGAAAAATTAGGGCGTTTCTCTCTGCACCGCCACCGTTTGGTTGTTCTTCTTTGAGGCTCTGCTTCTGCGCGGTTGTGGGCTGAGGAAGCCGACCAAATTTATAGCCAATGTCTCCCAAAACGGAAACCCATGCGCCATGGATGTCGCCCCCTTTCATGCATGTGCATGCCCATTTATCATGCATCCATAACATTTGTATGACCATTTTTAATCTTCTTTTTAATTTCTAATAAATTCCATTTGGCTTCTAGGTAAAAAATACTAAAAATAATTTATTCTTAGTGCGAAGGGTAAAAGGTAAAATCAAAAAAACATGAATTATGGTATGTATTGAGAGCGAGTGTACAACATGTATAGTCATTACCATGCGYGGATGCACTTCATTATCACCATGCATCATGCACAATAAACTTGTGGTGAAAAAATTAGTTGAGTGGAAGAAGGAAAAATGAGGAAAAAATGGAAGTTCGTTGAACCTGGACGGGTTATCGGCTGTTGAAACATTTCCGAGTCTACTCTCGATTGAAGGCATGACTGTTTTCTTTTTTCTTTTCTTTTCCATATTTTTCGGATTTGATTCAATGAACCTGGACACTCTCATGCCTAATAAGAACAAAATATTAATTGAATTTATTTTCTCCCCAATCAACTCTCCCTTTGATTGGAGTTATTTCAAATCAGGAAGTTAGATTTGGAAATTGTGTTCTTTATTTTTCTTTATTTGTTAAGATATATATATATATATATATATATATATATATATATATATATATATTAACAAGTAAATTAAGCTTCCATCTGGCTGTTCAACTAACGTTCACAAATCTATTAAAATATACAATATAAAAGCTAATTATATTGAACTGGACACTATGTCTTTTTATTTATTTACATAATTAATTTTCTAAAAAGAAAAGAAAGATAATCAAAATTTTATCGTTTTATCTATTTATCTTATTTTATTTGTTTTTTTATGAAATCTTATTTTATTTGTTAACTTTATATTTGTTTAATTACTATTTGTCTAAAACTAATAGATTGACTTTTAAGTTATAATAAATGCAATTAAACCATCTACCATTATAGGGTTCGAGCAGAGAAGAGAGAAACCACGAAGAATTATTTTTATTTATTTATTATTATTGAAAAGAAACTTCGTCAAAGAAATCATTAAGACTACAAAAATTTGATGGTAAACTTCTATACACACTAACTAATCTAATTTGAGAAATTTAACAACCACACAAACGTGTGACCCAAGTTGAAAGTCTCCCTACCAATAGAGTAGGTAGCACCATTAGAGTCTCTGAAAATGAGGAAGAAACAAAAATCTTCAAATGACATCGCCAGAATGTTGATTTCATTAATCAAAAGTTCAGCATCACCTTGTCCAGCAAAAGACTCATGTATCATGCTGATAGCTTCTTTGATTCAACTATAGCTTTTACTGGTCCTAATTGTTGAGCTAGTTTCATCCCCTCATGAATGGCAAGAAGTTTACTCAATAGAGGGTCTGTCACTGTGTGAGTGTTCCCCATTGTCGTACAAGTACTAGATCTATCATCCCGTATCAGAATTCCAATTCCCAATCTTCAATTTGCACATGCAGTATCCGAATTAATCTTGACCATGTCCATCGGATGAGGCATTCACACACATCCGATATCCCCTATATGACGTCCCACCCAAATCAGGGTTGTTCTGCGAGGTAAATCCTTCCATGTACTCGATAATCCATAAGGCTTTCGATGAAACATGAGCATTTGTCCTTTTGTGAATTGTGAAATTCATATCATTCGAAAGTGCTCAACATATCATACTTCGCAAGGTTAATTATGAAGTTGAGAGCATATTCATCCAAACGAACATCAATAAAACAATCATTAAAATGTTGCTCAATCGCTACATTTGAAAGTAGAAGATTTCATATATGTCGAGCCCGGTGTTTAGCAAAATGTTAATTTTATTTGTTAAAATTTGTATAGTTAAAATAGAAAATAAAAAATATTAAAATCAATCTAACTTTTATTTTTTTTCGTTTTAGCGTACTGAATCATCAATATTAAAAGCGATAATAATTATCTAATTCATTGAATTACACTGCAATTATTCAAAAGTTTAATTTCAATATCAACTTTTTTTTAATCAGCATAATTCTTTTAGCATAAATTATAACAAAAAGAATTGGAGTCAAACCATGTATTTTTTTAATACAACATGTGACAAGGAGGATTCGAACTAACAACCTTCCAGTGGTATATAATTTTCTTAATTTATTAAACTATGTTTAAATTAAACCAATTTGTTTATAATGTGAACACCAACAAAAGAATATATATATATAATTCTTTTTAGTACAATACATATATATATATATATATATATATATATATATATATATATATATATATATAACCGGTTTGATGGGCATGAACATAGTACACATGTGATTAAATCCACTCGTTTTTTGGGTTTATAAAAGGAGGGGTAATTTTGGCAAAAACAAATTTGCTTTTGGTTGCATTGAACGGACCAACTTTTTTCTGGCACACGAAACTGGAAACTGGGTGGAAGTTCGAAAGACACGCAAAAGATAATATAAAATAAAAGCTATAATTATAAAGTTTGGTGTCATGTGTTGGAGAGTGAGCACGTGCTTCTGTTTGTTTTTGACGTTTGGACATTGGAATTGGACCACGTGACTGCTCGCGTCCTTTTCCTGTTTTTAATATATTTTCTCTTTCTTTTCCATTTTTTGGCAAACTATTTTTATAGTTAAATAAATTTGAAGGGGTTGGATTCGTAGGGTGGATGAAAAAAAAATCTAACATTAATTAGGGAATAAGATGAATTTAAGTAAAGTTGTCATTTTAAAATTAGACTTTCATTTTGTTAGATGTTATATGTGGGGGTGGGGATTTAAACTCATGATCTATTAATCAGAGATACGTGTCTTAACCGCTTGAGCTATGTTCGATTTTGACGAAGCTGTCGATTTAAAAATTCAAAAACCTACCGACACAATTAAAAAAATATATCATTGTATTAATGAGAAAATATCAGCGGGAAGGAGAGATCATTTGGGCCGCATCCAAAATAGCGTCAATCTCATTAAAGGCCCAAGAGCCAATTAGGAAAAAAATGAAGACCACGAGATTGAAGAGAGATGCTTCAGCCCCTCATTAGCAAGAGAATGTGCAAATTTGTTGAACTCAGAAACATCCAAAAATTAATTGATTCAATTTTGTATATAATATGTTTGTGAATATAATATAATATATATATATTTATATTTATATTTATATTTTAAATGAATTTTAAAATATTTACAAACCTATTAAAATAAAATTGATAGTTCGCATAGATATGCTTTTAAAATAATACAAAATTACAGGCAGCTCCTAGATACCACTTTGGAAGTTCATTGACTAATCTTGTAATTTAACCTCAACAATCAAATAAGAGTGCTTAGATTAGATTTTGTTATTTATTTAATAAAATTTCAAATGGTTTATATTTTAATTTTTGGCTTTTATAAATGTTTATTTAATTCAACATTTTTTTTAAATTACCAGAAGATACTTGTTATTATCCCTCAGAGTTTTTCATAAAATAATTTACCATGAAACAAAATAATTGTGTTTTTAATGCTAAAATATAAAAATTAAATTCATATATGATAAATAAAATATTGGGATCTAAAACAGGGCGTAAACCAAAAAGATTATTACCTAACCAAGTTTAACCAAACCAGATATAGTAGAGAGGTTAACCAAACCGGCACCAAACATTGCATTAATTCAGTTTTTTTTTTCCAACCCGAGTAAGAGTTACATTGCGTAGCAGGACATAAAATAGGTTCAGCTATTTAGAGAGAACTTTAAACATCACATGTGGTGTCACCAGGCATATGACGTTAAATATTAGATTGTCCGGGGTACAGAGATCCATTCGTATAATTCAAAGTTGACGTTATCGAGTCCATCTATACTTTTGAAATGTAATGTCTGAAGATTGACTTGACCTCGGATCTCCCACCTCAGCTACCATCTCTATTGATGAGCTTTTGGCATATTGTTTTGCTAAATTGGCAAGATTTAGCGTCATGCCAGGCATGTCTCATCTCTAGAGAAAAAATCCACTACTACAAAAGTATCATACACCCTATTAGACTCTAACTAATCTCTAAATTTTACACGCTCGCACTAACTGCCCTAACTCACCGCTTCGCCCATGGCTCCACCTCACGAAGAAACTCCTTTGGAGGATGATCTACAAGTCTAATACACCCTTTATTTTACACTATCTTATTTTCCTAATCTCCATGCAAGTACACATTGAGGAATATATTTTCCTACCCAATATACATTTCTTTTCAAAGAAAAAAACTACATCCCTCCAAACTCTACTTTTTACCAATTTAGAGAGATATTTATTTGCTAATAATTTGTGTTAATTTTCATGTCATATGACAAGATTTGATAAATCAGATTATTAATATTTCATGTCAAACGAAAGTAAGCGCCGCCGCGTCAAAGAATGGTGTAGTGCATTTAATTTCTCTTCTTGTAATCATAAGTATAACACATGCATGTATATACCACGAAACGAAGACTTTTAAAACGCAGGATTATTCTCACAATTAAAAATTAATTATGTTAATACCTTTCCCTCTAACTAAGACAATACAACCACCTTACTCAAAATCCACATCACCAGGGAGAATTCAAACGCAAAGAGCGTATGGAGCAATCCCCGATCCAGCGCGAATCCGTACACCGTAATTCCGCCGTTGTTGTGCCGCAAATACGACACTGCCACCAGAAATTACTTAATTAATTTTATTCAATCGATCAAAACGACGCGTCGCAAAATCAAACCAAGTTAGTAAGTAATTTAGATTTACTAACCTAGCGCTTGTCTGGTCTGGAAGGATGAAGGTTGATGCGCGCTCACCGAAATTAAAACGCCCGACGAGTCGGAATCGGTGTCGTCGCCGTCGCCGCCGCTGCCGTCAGGGTGCGGCGTCGGGGGTTTGGTCTGGTCCGATCCAGCGGCGGAGGCGAGGGAAGTAACGAGCATGTGCCATCTGGAAGCTATGGAAACAATCCCTTGGGCTCTATGAGTTATTCTTGCCGCTCCAAATAGGCACAAGAAGAATCCGCATAACTGCACCGCCGAGCAAACCTGCACCCGCCGCATCAATCCTTTTTTTAAATCAGGTTAATTAACTTTTAAATAATAAGCTTATTTCTAAATAAATAATAGGTTAAAAAACTATTTTAATATTTTAGTTTGGTTCGGTAGTTCCCTTTTGATTCTATAAATTTTTTACTCAATATATTAAAAAATAATGTAATAAAACAAAATTTTTAAAATACATGCGTCTTTAACTCGTCCAACCATGCTCCCAAACACACCTTAAAGGTAAAAGATTTTAAAGATAACTTTGACGGTGTAATAATAATAATAATATGCTTAACTACTATATTTTACAAAAAGAGGTTGTGAGTTCGATACTCTACCCTACTTGTTGTACTAAAAAAAACTATATTTTGATCGGATAATAATTCAACTAGTTAAGACATATATATCTTTGATTAAAATATTTTTTTTGTTTGAATCTCCACTCCTACATGTCATTGGTACTAAATCTATATATTTTCACATTTTATCCATTTCGATCATTCTATTTTAAAATCGTTCATGGCCATTTTTAGTCTTTATATTTCCCATTTTTATTCATTTTTGTGATGTACTTTCAAAACGTATATTTTAATTAAAAAGTTATTGTTTTTATTTTTGTATGAAAATTTATTTCCTTCGTAATTTTAACATTACACTTCTCTCAATTTATTGAAATATAGTCATAAATTTATATTAAATAGTGATGTGTCAAAATTTTTGTTCTTTTAAAAATGACTCGAAACCAACGTTTAGAATGGAAATAAACAAAAGTTGTGAATTAAAATAGCATATAAACCTAATAATAATAATAATAAAATTTGAGGTTACCACGACGTCGCCGGAGTTGAAGAAATTCTTCTGAGTTTTGGAGGCCAAAACAAGTAGCAGCGCCACGAACTGGCTGACAGTGATGACCAACAAACACCCTATGATGAAGAACCGGTACCGGTGGCTCGTAACCCACAACTGTTTTTTGATCCTCACGTGTTCGTCGAAGATCACCGCCGCCTCCGATCCCGATCCGCTGCTCCCTTCGAACAACTTCTGCACTCCTTGGAGTCGCAAAATTTGCAACTCGCACGTGAGCCGAAACAATATGCACACCAACAAGAACACCCCCGTCCGGTACACCCACGCCCCCAACACGAGCACGAACATTATCGAGTTCATTGGAAACCCGCCGCTGTTCATGCATTGTGTTAAGAATATGAATACAAATATTAAATATATTGTAACTTGTTTTAGAATAGGATTCCAACATAAGTCATAACCCTATGAAATGATTATATCCAACGCTTAAGTTGATTTCAAAGGTACTTTTGATAACTGTTTTATTTTTTATTTTAAAAATTTATAGTTGTCTTGATATACTTTTGTTCAAGAGAAAAAAAAAATTAAAAAATATTTTTGATCCCTATACTTTTACTAGATAACAATTTAGTCATTGAACTTTAATTTATAACGATTTAGTCTTTTTTTTTGTTTCGTGAAGTAACAATTTAGTCAATGTAATTTAACTTGTAATGATTTAGTCTCTGTAGTTTAAAATTTGTAATAATTTAATCTCTATATTATAATTAAGTGTAAACTTTTATCATATAACACCTTAATCTTTCTAATTCATAAAAATATTTGATCCCTCTTTAGTTTATCAATATATACATACAAGAAACTTAACAAAAAAAAAATTCACGGACTAAATCATTACCAACTTTAAATTATAATGACTAAATTGTTACGTATTAAAATTCAATGATTAAATTGTTACCAATTTGAGAGCATATGGACTAAATCGTTTAGTGAAAGTACATGGACTAAAAATGTTTAAAAAAAAACATGTTTAGAACTTTTTTTTTCGGCATAAATATTGAAAATGTTTATAAAAACTATATAACAAAACAAATAAGTTAAAAATTATTTTAATTGTTATCAAATCAAGTCTAAATTAGGTAAATTGATCATATTTTAGTCTATAAACTTTGATTTTTTGTTTTTTCACCCAATAATACAACTTTGAGTATGTGTATTTTTTTCAGTCCAACAATTGAAAATTCAAAATACAACAAGTTAAATTATTTTCAAGTGGGTGTATATTTTATCTTTTTAATAAACTTTTAAGTACGTATATTAATGAATCCTGCCCGTGTTGTGATTTTGCAAACATTCTCAATTATTAATTAAATAACAAAATGATAAGAAGATTAGAGTAATTATTTTCTAAAAAAACATAAATTTGAAAATCCATGACAAAAAACCGTTATTCTTAAAAAAAAAAACCAAATTCAGGACTAAAATATTTTAAATGCTGAGAGACACGATAGAGATAATTTTATGAAATGTTTGAAAAAAAAAATAAAATGAATTTACATACGGGAAGGAGATCTTGACGGTGGTGAAGAAGGAGATCTTGTGGGCCAGCTCCACGAAGAACGACGGAAACAGAATGTACGCCAAATAACGGAACGACTTGTCGAGCTCACGCGCGTACCCCCGCTGTACGTACACGGAATCCTCCTGCAATCCGTCCAGGAACAGCAGCTGCCGGAGGCCGTACCGCCGGAAGAATCGCGACAGCGTGAAGAATCCGATCGCGGCCAGGCCGGATTCCGGAACCTGAACCAGTTTGTTGAACGAGATCGGATCGTCGATCGGGACATGGACGGCGACGATCGCGACGGCGGGGACGACGACGGCAAAGAGGACGAAGGCGAAGTAGGAGACGAACTTCCCGGCGGTGGAGGAGTGGTCTAGGGCGCACCATTTGAGGCTGATTCGGAAGTTGCGGAGCTCGTCGGAGGTTAGGGATTTGGATCTGCAGTAGGGGGGATGGAGGAGAGAGACGGTTACGTTTGAGTGATCGGCGGAGGTCATGGCGGAAGAAGTGGAGGAGATTTTGAGAGGGAGGCGGCGGGTTTTTAAAGAGAATCGACGGCGAGATTTGTGTGAGAAAGAGGGGAAGCTTTTGGGCAGTGAAGAGAAAGGAAGGTTCAGAGTTCTGCCTTGTGGGAAAGGTTAACTGCCAATAGCCTTCTCTGGTTCTTCATTTTCCACTTGGCGTATCACTTTTTTTTTTCCTTCTACATTAGATTTTTATTGATTTATTAATGTTATTTTTAAGTTTAAATATTGGTTTATGTAATTTAAATTTTTGTCTATTTTTAATCTTACTTTTAAAAATCACCATATCCTCCCCTCAATCTATTTATATATATATATATACTTTTGACAAATGTGATCTATATTTACAAAATTGTATACGCAATTGACACTTCTTTAATACATTAAAGAATGTATGACTAAAATTTCAATAAATTTAGTGAGAAAATGTAATGCTAAATACAAATGAAAATGAAGTAATAATTGCCAATTTATTTATATTACCATAATCAAAATGAATGTTCCAAACATACCATGACTAAAATGAATAAAAGTTTATAAGGACTAAAATAATTAAAAACTGAAAATATGGTAACCAAAATAATATCTAAACTTTTTTTTATACACCATTACAAATTTGTGGAAGAATTTGAGCTTTCGATTTGCGAAACGAAAAAATAATTTACATTAGATAGTCATAAGAAGTTTACCAACATTGTATTGGTAAGTATTGTTTGTATTTATAAGGGTAATTATTAATATTTTTTGCTGTTGAAATATGCCCGATTTTTTTATTTGATATTCTGTGAAAATTATTATCTTTTCCAATGAGTCTAGATAGTAAATGTGACTGTGAAAACTATGATACGTTAAATATTTACATTATACATATTGACGTGAAATGAAATTCATACCAAGGGAAACATTTTTCCCCTTTTTTCCCTTTTTCTTTTTCTTTTAGTACTTTTTTTGCGTTTTCTAATTTTGTATTTTAAACTTTAATATTATTACGCTTCTGATGGCTGCCACGTGGATAGCGTACAGTTGAGTTGGCGTCTTGGTGAAGGGTACTCGGCGACTTCACGGGCAGATAGGAGCAAGAAAACACCTCGTATTCTGCCACGTGGATTTTTTCTCAGCCACAAATCCCAACTTTTTATATCCCTCACGGCTTTTTTTAAATAAAATTAATCTCACTGTAATTTACACTATTACCAATTTTCCCTCGGACAATGTTGAATTTGACTTCTGTCCAAATTGTCCCAAAAAGAGCGTATAAATTATTGATGAATAGAAACCACTTGGCTCTAAGAAAAGAATAATATTTTGTTTAAGTAAATTTAATTCGTACGCAAAGTACAACGTTTTAATCTATAGTCTGTACAAATACTAAATGATTAACTCGTTGGTTTATTTTAATAATATGCAAATGTTAATTTATATGGATAATATTAGAATAATATCAAATTAATTTGATTTCTATAGATATCGTTACCTATAAAAGGCCTAAGGGAAAGGAATGCTGAAAAAAAGTTGTGGGCTGAGGCCCACAACAGACCCGGTTTTCTGGGCCGGTGACCCATCAAATAGGGCTTGAATAGAGGTTACCGTGATCCGATTTCTTCCGGTGTGGGATTGAAAGGCTTCATGCTCAATTCAGTAAGAAATTTAAATTACATCATAATTTTGGCAATAATTTTCAACTTTGCTTCGAGGTTTTCTTTATATATATATATATATAGATATAGATATATATATATTTTTTTTACTTTTTAATTTCATTCCTCATTCGTTTTAACTGTTTTTTCTTTCTTGTTTTATATATTTTTTTTATATATAGTTTTCAGAACTTGTCGCATGACCACTCGTTCGAAAATATGTATTCATACATCAATTTGGATAAGTTGAARAATAAGTAAAAGTAGTTGAATCATTTACCAACTTGGTATAACCTCAATCTGACACCGAGTTGGTGAAGATAGATCCCACGAACATAAAATATGACATCGAATATAAGGTGTAAGAGTGGCAGGGTCATGCTTCATATAGCTCTCGTATGAGAGATATGGAGTCTCTCTTTCTCAAAACTACATGTTATATATAATAATAATAATAATAATAATAATAATGATAATAATAATAATAATAATAATAAATTATGTTTAAAGTTAAATTGAGTTGCAAATATTTTACGTTTCAATTCACGGAATATGCATCTCTATACATAAAATCAACAACTTGCCTACTTTCTATAATGTTCATTTTGGGTTATATACTTTAAAAAAAAAAAGTGATTGCTCTTGTCCATTAATTATATTTTGTAGTCAATAAATTTTGCTCTTAAATTTCCACTTGCAATAACAAAATGGTCGCTCTTTAATATTAGAATCCTAACAAATATTTAGAAATTCATAAATAGCATGTATTAGAATAACAAAAGTTGAAAGTACATCATTTAAAAGAGACATTTTAAATATGTCAACAAAAAAAAATATTTTAAATATAAGCAAACCAAAATGAATCAAAGTCAAAAGTACATCGATCAAATTAATATTGAAGTACCGAAAAATACTAACATTTTTATTACCCACCAACCATTTATGTAAAGCAAATACCAAAGGATACACTAATAAGTAGAGGGGTGAAGTACCAATTAATACAAAATGTTTAAAAAAATTAATACAGAGAAACGACCAATTGGAAAGCAATAATAATTAGGTTTTTAAACCTCCAGTCTACCGGACAGCCAAAATTTTAATAAATTGTATAATAGAGAGATTTTACCATAAATGTATTTGATTAGACCACGTCAATAAATTCATTAATTTAAACTCATTTGATTTTATTAAATAAAAAACCAATAGAGTTTTGTTTTCTTTTGTTTTTTTGGAAAAAAGGTGCATGTAATGTAAATGTAAATTAATCCCAAGCGAATATAAATAATAAGCTCGATAATTTAATATAATATTTGAACTGGCCTGGCCGGCCTGCACCAGCTCATTGTTAGCGGCAAGAATAAAACGACATCGTAGAAGTCACCCTCTGCTCCTTTCTCTCTCTCTTAAATCTCCCCCCTCTCTCTCTTCCCCAATTCCAATTTCCACCATGGCCAAATCCTGGCCCTTCATCTTCTCCCTCCTCCTCAATCTCCTGCCGTCCATTTCCGCCCAGCCACCGCCGCTCCCCGGCGACGCCCAAACCCTCCTCCGATTCAGGTCCTCTCTCACCAACGTCTCCGCATTGGCCAATTGGGACCCCTCCGCCCCCATCTGCGGAGGCGACCGCCGCTTCTGGGCCGGCCTCATCTGCAAAAATGGCCAACTGTACGGCCTCCGCCTCGAGACCATGGGCCTCGGCGGCGCCATCGACGCCGTGGCGCTGGCCTCTCTCCCGAGTCTCAGGACTCTGAGCTTCATGAACAACAGGCTGGGGGGCCCACTGCCGGACGTGAAGAAAATTGGGGCCCTGAAAGCGCTGTATCTGTCGAACAATAATTTCTCCGGCACGATTTCCGGCGACGCCTTCGAGGGGATGGGGTCCCTGCGGAAGGTGTATCTCGGCCAGAATCGATTTTCCGGCAAGATTCCGACGTCGTTGGCGGAATTAAAGGGGTTGGTGGAGCTGGGATTGGAGGAGAATGAATTTAGTGGAAGAATTCCGGATTTTGAAGAGAGGGATTGGAAGTATTTGAATCTTTCGGATAATCAATTGGAGGGGCCGCTTCCTTCTGCCTTCAAGAACTCCAACTTCACTTCATTTCTTGGTAAGTTCCTAATTCCAAAAAAATCCCCAAAAATATATATATTTTTTACTTTTTTTTAACGATAAATAAAAAATATTTATGAAAATATTGTTTTCATAAAAGTCCCTTTTAAAATGTATGTTAAAATTTACGCACTTACTAACACCTACTTAATAGTGACACGTCGGAAAATTGACAACTATCTATTTTATTTTAATTTTTTTATGTTTTCAACTTTTTTTTTAATGGTAAGTGTTTTAAAAGTGGTAGGTACCTGCTTAACAAGCTAAGCTTTATTGTTTTTTAATTATGTTTACTTGAGTATGGTAAGTAAAATTGGTGTTTTATATTTATAAAAAAATTTAAATTTATTGTAAATAAATAGATAAAATAAAAAATTTACCTCTAACCATAAAATTTTAATTTCATCATATTAGAACTCTGAATTGGAAAAATATTGCAATCTTTGCAAATTTTACCTTATGATCTTCTAGGTATATTTAATGATGAAAATTTGATGATAATTCTGAAAAAAAAATAATGGAAATATATATATATATATATATATATATATATATATATATTAATTTGGTGAATTTTAGGATATTTGTTTAATGATGCATCGGAGAGTAGTTTTGTGTGAGGATCGAGTTTGGAAAGTTTTCTTACCCTAAAAAAAAAAGTGGATAAATGTAGCAAAATTGAATGATAAACATTGTACTCTTACAAATTTATAGTTTTTTTTTTAATATATGTAAGTTTAGAGTTCGATTTAATAAAAATAAAATTTTTGGAAATATGGATTACATTGAACCGAGTGGATATATGGTGTCATTTATATGTAGTGCAACCTAACTATTAAATAATTATTTTTACTAAATAGCTCGTCCGTTATTTTTAATTATTAATAATGTAATTGAATTTGTCGCGTCATAAATATTTTTCCACGTGTCGAAATTGAAATGTACTTTAGTTTTTTTTTTTTTAATTTACTATAAGCATCATTTTAACTATATTAAACCAAAATCTCTTTCCCCTTCACACCATTAATAATTTACAATTTTTTATTCTAAAAATGCAATTTTCATTTTCCATATATTATTTAATTTGAGAAACCAATGTAACAAAATTAGTCGGTCACACTCATCGCTCAGGTGATAACTCATATCTTACTTACATTTGTCAGCAGAAAAAAATAAAAAAATTAGATAAAAACAAAGTAAAACATTGTTATTTAAGAAGATACAAATAAATAAGCAAAATAAACTGTTTCTCAAAAGAAATAATGCATGCCATTAATCTAACTCACAGAATATTTTCTAAGTGTCACGCACGTCGGTCCAAATATCTCAATTAACATTTAAATTAATAGGATAGCAGAAGATTCTTGTGTGGTAGCATCACCCAATTTTATAAATTCTTTATTTTATGTTTATTGTTGCATTATCCACTATGTTTTAATTTATTTTCATTCAAATTCATTATTTCTACTTTCATTTTTTCCTCAATAACTCATGTTGAATACCCGATATCCACTTTCATTTTCTCGTCCATTTTGGTTCTATACTTTCAACTTTGATTTATTTTAATTAAATTTTCAAAATATTTGTTTTGACATTTATTTGTAAAATTTTAACACAAATTTTATACACAATTGAAACATTTTAATACAATTTTATAACTACATTTTCAAAAAATTTTAGGTAATGAAGAATCATACTTTTTTATCAAAATAAATGAGATAAAAATGAAAATTTGGGACCAAAATAATAATTATTTTTTTAAAGTATAGTAATTAAAAACAAACATTTTAAATTTATATTAATTAAAATAAAAAAAGTTGAAACTTGAAAGTATACAGATTAAAATAAACATCAGATTACTAAAATGTAAAGTAAAAAAATATAAGAATTAAAATGGTTTTTAAATCAATAATCTGAAACACATTTTTTTAAGAAAATTATACTAAACTGCATAAAATAAATATGTATTTATAGAAATATTATTACTTTTTTTTTTTTACTTAAATATCGCAAAGATGACCTTTAGTTGGTCTCATGTGATAATGGTATAAATTTGTAATTTGTGTTATTTTTATAAAATTTTAAATCAAAGCTATATATATAAATATAAATTTATTTTTTGTGCTATTTTTTAATTCATTTTTTTCCTTTCAATTCAGCCTTAATTAAATCTGGAAATTTTTGTTTAGGAAACAGCGGTTTATGTGGGGAGCCACTGGCACCATGCAATAATAGATCTTCCGCAAAGAAGTGGTACATTCTGATCGGAGTATTCTCCGGCGCCGCCGCCTTGATCCTCCTCCTCATCATCCGCCGCTTTCTCCGGTCGTCCAAATCATCCGCCGCCGTATTCGACGACCCAAAGCCCAAAACCAAATTATTCTCTCCCAAAAACATCTTCAAAAAGGAGAGGTCCCACTCCCACCCATATTCCTCGACCGACTCGGACGAGAACCCGAAGAATGGCGGTCCGACCGGGTCGGCTTTGTGCTTCTTGCGAACCGACCGTCCGCGGTTCGGATTTCAGGAACTGCTCGGCGCCTCCGCCGAAGTTCTGGGCAGCGGGAGCTTCGGGTCGTCTTACAAGGCGTTGCTGGCGAATGGGTCGGCGGTGGTGGTGAAGAGATTCCGGCAAATGAACGCCGTCGGAAGAGATGAATTTTACGGCCATATGCGGCGGCTCGGCCGGATTTCGCACCCCAATTTGCTGCCGCTTGTGGCGTTCTATTATGGGAAGGATGATAAGCTTCTGGTTTCTGATTTTGTTGAAAATGGCAGCTTGGCTAGTCACCTGCATGGTAAGTTTCAAAAATTTGACCTTTCTTTGGGGGTTAAATTGGTAATTTAAAAATTTAGTCTTTTATGATTTGTTCAAATTTCACAAATTATTATAAAAATTATGAAATTTGGTATTATAGTTTTGAGCTTAATTTTAAGTTGACCCATATGGTTTTTAAAATTTTAAATGAGTTATTACCATTTGAATTTAGTTTAAAGCGGTCCAATGGTTTTGAAAATTGGACAATATTTACTCATACACCAATCAGTAGAAACTCATATTAAGTTTATGATACGGTTTAGTTTCATGTGAATGTCTCTGAAAATTTTATATAGCTATAATATAATATACCTAAAAGTTTGTTGGAGATTTCACTAATCTATCTATATATAGGCGAACATTTTTATGTAAAAAAGCCAATTAAGTCTCTATGAACTCATTAAACCGCATACTATTTTGATCTCTGTATTATTGGCTGCTTGGATTTGGATTCATTTTGGTTTGTACTTTTTGTCCAGCCCGACGAAAACTAGGAGATCCAGGCATGGACTGGCCAACTCGTCTTAAAATCATAAAGGGAGTAGCCAGAGGCTTATTCCATCTCCACAAAGAACTCCCTCACTTGAGCCTTCCCCACGGCCACTTAAAATCCTCCAACATCCTCCTCGGCCAACACTTCACCCCAATGCTCTCCGACTACGCCCTCTCTCCCCTCCTCAACAAGGACCACGCCCACCACCACATGGCTGCCTACAAGTCCCCGGAGTTTGCTCGCCACGATCGAGCCTCCAAGACTGCAGACGTCTGGAGCCTCGGCATCCTCATCCTTGAGGTCCTAACGGGCAAGTTCCCAGCCAACTATCTCCGCCAAGGGAAAGGTGCGAACGCCGACTTGGCTGCCTGGGTTGACGCTGTGGTTCGGGAGGAGTGGACTGCAGAGGTGTTCGACAACGACATGATCGGTGTCGGGGTCGATGACTGGGATGGGGAGATGTTGAAGCTTTTGAAGATTGGGATGTGTTGTTGTGAATGGGAGGTGGGGAAGAGGTGGGGGTTAAAAGAAGCTCTGGAGAGGATTGAGGAGTTGAGCGAGAGAGGTCATAATTTTGAGGACGAAGATGATGAGTATTACTCTTCTTATGGGAGTGAGAAAGATTTGCGTTCTTCCTCTTTTCATAGGAGATCAGATGACGAGTCTTCTTTTTTGAATTGACTAGAGCTAGATGAACTTAAAATATATATTCAACGATTATTAGGGATAGTCATATGTGTTGGTTATATTCAATAATTTTTTTAAATTTGGTGGATTTTTTTTATTACTTTCCAAACTATAGGGTTTTTCCTTTTCCTTTGTATTTTAATGGGCTGATGTCTATTGATTAGTTTATACAAAAATGTATACTTCTTTCTTTGTTGTAATGCTATATACTTTTATTATGTTAGTAATAATAATAATGAAGAGTTCATTACTATTGGAAATTTGTAGGTGGAACTTGTTTGGATCTCTTTTATGAGGCAAATAATAGAATGTGATCAATATGTCAGATGAGCTCTTACATTATCACTTATTTTAAAAATATTGTCTATCTATCATTATTAGTATAATAAATCAGGCAAAATTCGATTAATAAAATACCCATATTAAAAACAAAGGTTAAATTATGAGTTAGTTTATATGGGATTGTAGTCTAATCGAAAGTACTTTTGCCATGACCAGGAACTATTCTCACTCAAAGTTTTCATGCTTGTATATGAGAAAATACTCGTCATTTTCATGACTAAAGTATGTGATAATGAATTACTAAAAAACACTAAAAAAAGCATAAAATGGAATATCAAAATTATTTGTTATTAAACATTTATTTTAGGGGATTTAACATCTTTTATTACCATTATGTTATTAGAGATACATTGTCTAGATCCAATTAGGAAGCTATCCACACCTAATTAAAACAACAAATCACGTAAAAAAAAGAGATCAAATTGGGAAAAAATTTATATGTATGTTTCTCTAATAATGTTTGAATTATACAATTTATTTCAAAACTTTAAATATTGGGCTTGGATCCACTGGGCCTCATTCATATTCGGCCCATTTCATTACGCTTTTGCTTAGAGTAGCGGTCAGTTTCAATTCAGTATCCATTCTTCTCGCGCCTCTGCCCGCCCACACTCTCTTCCGGCGCGCGCGGTTTTTTCTTTCCTTCTCGGTTTCGCTTGGTTCCCGCCGGCGGGATTCACATTACCATTTTCCGGTTCTCAGTGGCCGCCGGTGCTCTTCCTGTCTCATTTGTAAGTAAAAAATGACGTTCTACTGCTTTGCCTGATATTGAGATTGTCATCTCGATTGTTATCGAATCTCACACTTGAAGCTGAAACTGGTATATGCATAATCCATGCATAGGTTTTAAGAATGAAGCTTAATGTTACAATTGAGTTTAGATGATTTCAAATATTTTTTTTGATGGTACTGATTCGATGACGGTCAGGTTTTGAAGGTTTCGCTCCCTTAAGTTTCATGGCTTGGTGGGAAGGCGTTGATGAAACTCGTATTCTCATTGCCCCTGGTAGCTCTCGCTTCGCTTATCTCTCGGATTCAATGTTTCAGTTCATCTCGATACTTTAATTTACTTGTTATTTCCGTGTTTTATTTGTTTATTTTTCACATTCTTGATCTCGCCATTTCTTAAAGGTAGTCAGCTCTCTCTGCAATCTTAGCTTCTATTTGCTGTTTTATTCTGATATTTATTTGCGTATAGAATTCCTGACCGTTAATGAAGGGATGTGCACGAAAGTCATAATTTCAATTGCCTATTTTTACTTGCCACGTTTTTTTCCCGATGAATACCAAAGCTTGATTGATACCATCATACAGCAGTTGCAATCTAAAAGATCGTAGGCCAAAGTTATTGATGTTATTTCTTTTGTATGCGTGTTCATGTCCTTTTATTTATGTAAGCACCTTTGATAATTTGTAAATTTGTTTCATTTTATTTTTTTGATAATTTGTAAATTTGTTTCATTTTATTTTTCTTACAATTTTCTGGCTCTATTACAGATCAAGGGGTAAAAGGAAATGATTCTGGATGCTTGCTTTCACTTCGCCATCCAAAATCAGGTAATTTAAAGGATAAGTTGTCAATCCATCCCCACCCTCAGTAATAACGAATCCTTACATCTTCCCTTCCCAGCAATCTTTTGAACTCTGAAAATAAACAATAAAGGAAAAAGAACTGTCAACTTTTCAAACTATCCTGATATCTTGTATCTATGCGACTGGTACACTAATAAATTATCAGGTAAGTGCTGGGTAACACTTTTTCCCTCTAAAAACGGTCTTCATCTTTTTTCTATTTGATGGAGCTTGTTTACAAGTGGAGGGAAATTATAGTTAGCTGAATACTTTATTTGGTTAACTATCCTATTGAATCCACTTGACTATTTAAATAATACCAGTTTAATATCTTCGAGCATAACTCTATCACGGAAAACTGTATGAAATTGCATAAACGCTAGTGAGTGCTCATCATATTTGTATAAAAACATTCTATTCATTGAGTATATTGATGTACTTTTACAGGAAATACAACATGCTTTTTATACGGAAATGAGATGCTGAAGGAAATTCACTGGTTTAAGCAGTCATATTCATCGTGGTTTTTGGGAGACTATATTACTGAAGGTAAACCAGCTACCTGCACTGAAAGTCTTTTTGTGGACGACTTATTTCTTCTGTCTTTCTGCACGCATATGTTCTATTGATTTAAATCTTCTGATGGGTCAGCTAATTCAAGTATAATGTATCGAAAGTAAGCTATAAAATTCAAGTAATTTTGAATCAATAATTGGAAATAAATATTGAGTACGTCATCGTAGTTGGGTCTTAAGCATGCTGTAAATTTATCTTAGAATGATACCGTTGCATTTTTTTTTCATCCCTTTGTTCTTATAAGCAGAGATATGGTTATTCTTGGGGCTAGTGATGGTCTAAATGCTAAAAGGATACCAACAAGAAGCTTTTGTATGCTATAATGATTCACGTCTTGGAAACTCTAGATGTTCAACGTTAATACCATTGCCTTGGTATCAGCTTTAAAAACATAGTTTAGCTCATTTGTAATTGAGGACCAGCCCACCCTTTCTGCTGTTTACTGAATAGGAAGTATCATATATTATTTTGCTTCTGCAGATGGTCGTCTCTATTCTGCCACTCCAGTAGATCCGGTATTTATTTTCTTGCCCATTTTTGAGGAAGCTAGAATGAAGGTATCCTTACTGCAAATTTTGTATGATATCATAATTGAGAGATGGAACATAATCATGTGTTGTATGCTTCATTATTTTCATATATGTCTGCAATTTGCTTGGAAACTAGAAATACAATTTCAAGTTTTATCTGGTTTCTCTGCAGTTTATATGGTTATTGTTTGTGATGATATAATTGACCTAAATGTGATGGCTGATGCACAGATAGTTAATTATGTTGTCCATTCAAACTCATTATAATATATTTACGGGTGCTGAAACTACTTGTAATTTTTTCCCTTAATTTAATGATAAATTTTGAGAATTTCTTTCAAAATTCACGCAGAAGAGAGATGATCCTGGGAAATTCAGGCAATTAGATGACATAATGTTCATCAATGGGTATCCTGGTTATCAGCGTTTACTGTCTGTTGCAGAAAAGTCTATGCAAGTAGTTTGTGAGGTTAAAGGTGGGCAGGTTTATATGATTAGATTTAGAGCAAAATTTCAAGCATGTCAATAATCTATTCTCTTCATTTCTGTTACCTTGTCTGCTGCAGAGGTTGGATCATCTAGGTTTTTTAGGCTTGATGATTCAAAGGTATTGGCATGGTTATATCACAAGGTTTGTGTTCGTCCTCTCCACTAACAATTTCCGAGAGCGTTTTGCTTATGACGAGAAAAATTTAACAATACATATCACGATCAGCATGTCCATACAGATTTAGCATTTCTGGTTGACAAATCCTATTTTACCGTTTATGTCAGTTTCTAGGAACTAAAAAGCTAAACCATCTTTCATATTGGCTAGAATCCAATATGTTACTAGCATGGGAATATCTAACAGCCAATTCTTCATGGTGTTTTGCTCTTTGCCATAACCTAGCCGTTTACTTCCATAAAGCAACTGTTTTTCCTTTTCCATAATATTTTGTAAAAGAGATTACGTGGATTCTCTATTTTATTTTCTGACTTTAATTGGTACAGGTATGTCAGCTGAAAAAAACCCTATGCACACTGGATAAAAACTATGCTGCAAGGGAAGAAAAAGATACATGTATAATTCTGGAGAGAGGGCAACTTATGACCCCTTTATATGTCATTCTTTTTAATATCTGCACTGTAGAAAACGATTCATTTATATCATCTGCCTCATCTGAAAAAACTATATAAAGGGTACCATCTGTAGTTTTGCATTGCACCTGATTAGTCAGAAGCTACTATATTCATACATCAAAAGAGAACTAGACTGCTAAGTTGAACTTGATAACCACCATCTGAATAATGCTACTTAAAATTGACGAAACCTTGTTTGTTTCATGTGAAATTTTCATTCACACTAATTTTTTAAGGCTAGTGTAGTGAAATGTTGGAAATTGTTATGGATTTTATTTTACAAATTACGTAGCATGATAATGTGAGTAGTTGATATAGTTAAAAAGAAGATGGCCGAAAGAATGAACTAACTGTTTTGGAAAAAGAAACTAAATTTGTGGACTGAACCTCCTTTGTGAGGTAAAAAAACAAAGGGTTCTTTGCGTGCCAAACCAAAATCAGATGGTATGGTACCATCATTGTATTCATTATTCAGAAAAACTGGAAAAATAAAAGAGTATTTTAGTTAGTACAGTCCTTGATTGTAGGTATTTGTGTTTGAATGAAATAATAGCTTCTCTTACACCAATTTTTCTCTATTGGTACAGTAAGCGACGCAGTTTCAATATTGGGGGAATACTTGAAGGATGAACCATGGTTGAAGCTTTTATGTGACCATCTCAAGTATTTAGTCCTCAACTATAGCAATTAAGTTGCTGTACATTTTACAGTTCCATAAATGGGTACATTATGAGGTGCATGGAATTGGCTCTATTTGATTGTCCTGAGGCTGCACCCTGCTGATTTTGTTTGCAGGTTAAATTTTGCCGAAGCAATCAGAAAAGCATCGGATGCAGAAAAGGCTCCTATAAGCATAGAGAACAATTTTGATTCTAATATCTCACAGGTATAATTACCAATGACTTATAATTTCTTTAATCTTCTATTGCCTTTTTCATTCGTGCCACGAAGGTTCGTAAGTGTAACTATGTTTGTCTGTATGATTATTGGTATATGATGTGTGGCCACCTTGAAATATTCCAAATGGTACATGTCTTATGGCTTTTGTCCAAAGCCAAGGGAGAAGTTGGCCTACATTATTTTGTTTTTAGATGTTGTTTACTTTGAGGATGGAGATGTTTGGGTGGTGGAAGTTGGCAACATAGAGTGCGTGACTTATTAACTAGTAAAAACCACATCCCAAATCTATCATGATGTGTGGCCAAATGGTTAAAAAACGCTTCTAGAGGAAGCACTTAATGAGTTGAAATGGCAGGATAAGAGTAGGAGTGGCGCAAAGAATACAAGAAATGGAAAGCAAAGCAAGAAGCCTAAGGTGGAGACACAATCACGGAACATCAAGGACATGTTTTCAAAGGCTACAAAAAGAAAAAACTGAAGCATTTCAGATTTCAGATATTTGATGATCTAAAGCAGCCAACAAATTAGGTCGCCACTCGCCAGATGGTGTCATTTGTGCACATTAACTCACGCCTATCATGTAATGCCTCTCCCTTTACTTTCTGATCTGACAATTTTAACTTGCCTATAAATGCAACAGTTTCGATTCGACCTGGCTGAATGAAGCTATGGAATGGTATATTTATCTAACTAAAAGGTAAAAGTTTAAGGGACTATTTTGTTTCTTTGAGCCACTTGAAAATTGAACCTTTCAAATGCTTGTAATGGTGCAGGCTGAGGAATAGGATGCCAAACGAGGTAGGACTTTTGGAGCCCGTTTGGTAATGTTTCTATTTCTCGTTTTTTGTTTTCCATTTTTAATAAATGAAAACAAAATTATGTTTGGTAATAGTTTATAAAAAAAATAGAAACAATTATTTTTCGTCCTCTAAAACTTCAAATTGATAAAATTAAAATTTTATATGAAATTTAATTTTTAAAATTAAATATTCATTTTTATGTTATATTTATTTTTAAATATTTATTATATATTTTATGAGTAAAAAATAATAAAATAATACTTTTATTGATATTTTGGAAAAATGGGAAACGGGAACAATATTGTTGTTTCTAAAAAATTATATATAATGTTAAATTTTTCTTAAAAGTGAGAAGCAAGAAAAGCAATAATATTTTTCAAAAACTAAAAATTAGAAACAAGAAATAAAAAATTATATATAATGTTATAAATTTTTCTTAAAAGTGAGGAGCAAGAAAAGAAATAATATTTTTTAAAAACTAAAAATTAGAAACAAGAAATAGGAAGGCTATAAAAATGAGGTTCAACCCCAGCCTACCTTGAAAAAGGCACTTAACATTCGGTTTAAGATTCTTTTGAAGCAACTAATGTTGATTTTGTTTGGTTACCATGCATTATTCTAAGCTTTTTATTTCTATAAAGCCAGAGATTCATAATCATTTTTTTGAAATGTTTTTCAAAAGGATAAATGTCTTTAGTTTGTTTGTTTCTTCTTAATTTTTTAAAAAGTTTTTGAAAATGATTTTTTCATTGAAGTTTCAGCTAAAATATTTAAGAAATTTGATAAGACTTCAAAAATGTTTTTTTATATGATAATATGGATTAATGAAAAAATAATCAATATTACAGAATAATAGTTTTTAGATACGTATAACGATCTGTTCTAAAAAAAAAAAAAAACCGTATAACGATAAACAAGCAAGGGGTCGAGTAATTGAGCTTGAATTATCTGATCTTGCAAAAAATGTAGGATATTAATACTATTAGCAAATGTTGATAATTATTTTTCTAAATATTGATAGCAAAGAAGATTAAATGTGTAATTCGAAGTACGTGCATGAATTACAAATTAATGGTGGCTAAATATGTAATTTTTTTTGAGATTGTTAGTCTCAGATTTTCTTATAACAAATTAATTAAATTTATTGATAAATAAATGCTCATAAAGAAGCTGTAAATAGAAAGCATTTTTTTCTTTTTTATTTTTTGACATAAGAAAGCAAATTGTTAAAACCTCGTTTGGGTGATTGTTAAAAGTTTATATGTACCTACATTTTCTTTTGTTTAATTTTTTTTATTATTTAAAGAACACATTTAAAAATTTAGCTAAAATTTAAAAACCCATTTTTAAAAATAGATTACAAATTAAAGAAAAATGTTAACTAGCAGAAAAACAAAGACTATCAAACCGGAAAAAAAAAAGGAGGAAGTATTTTGAATTTTTATCTATAATGGTCACTCAGAATTTTGAGTGATTTCGAATCTGAGACAGATTTGATTTCGTTGTTTGTTATCATAAGAATAATCTGCTATTACGTGATTTTGCAAGATTAATAGGGATTTAAAGTAGATTATTGTTATTATTTTTTTAGAGGTGAATTACTTATTTAATCTTATCCTATTTTAATAATTTATTAACAAATTAAGATTGAAAGCCTGCATTAATAAACTTTTTATTTTCTTGCATAACTCTCAAACGATAAGAATTTCATTTCGGAAAATACTTACCTCCTCAACAATGAGGAGAAATCTTGTCCTCCTCACCATTAAATGTTGGAGCAATATTGTCTTTACTATCGTTAAATATTTAACAATTCATCATTTTTTAAAAAAACTTTTTATGTTTTTTCATTTATCTCTTTTAGTTATCAAATATTTGTCAARGACATGGTTGTTAAATATTTAACGGTGATAAGAATAAGGTTGTTCTTTATCAGTGATGAGCCCATGTCTTTAGTGATGAACTAATGTATTTAACGGTGAGAGGACATGACAAAGTATTCTCCTTTCATTTCATTTCAACCAAGATAAAATAATTTCCTCATTCCAAATTACAAATTTGAAATTCATTTCACTGAAATTAATTTTTGAAAAAGGGCAAAAAGTGACATGGGCTCACTTTCTTGTGTGTATATGACAGTGACCATGGCAGTAGAATTAGAAGAAGGATCTGAAACTCCCGATAATGGCATATGCCTTTTTATGAGCATCAAATACTTCCTCCGATTAAGTGGGTCTCTTCTCTCCTTCACTTTGAATTTGAAAACTCTGATTACTGTTTAATTATTGCTCTGTTCTGAAACAGGATCATCATCTTCACCGACGAGGTCAGTTGAACAAAATTTTTAGCTTTTCATTTGGGAATTGAACCATAAACATCCACCATCTATTTAGCTACCTATTATGATTATATGAAATTCAAAGTTATTGTTTTATATATGCTTTCTTCTCTCTCTCTCTTGTGGAATTTTCTATTAACGTCCATACTTGAAAGAAAAATTCTATTCCATCATTTTCTTTTTGGATTTCTCTCTAAAACTATTCTCTCTTTTGTCCAACTTGTATAGGTTGAAATTATTCTCTGTTTTAATAAACTTACTTGCTGGTTTTCTGGTATAGAGCCCTTTTCAGGAGAGAGAGTTTTCTTTCCTGCTATAAAATTCTCTTGGTTTCCAACTTGTCTAGGTTTCTGATATATCACCATTTTCAAGGGAGAGAGAAATCATTTGATTTATTTCCAACCAGAAAATAGTTTTATATTGATTAGTCGGAACTTCCTAAGATATTTGGAGAGACTAAAAAATTTCGATCCAAATAAAGTCTAATCTCTTTTTCAAAAGGAAAATACTTGCTCCTCACTAATAAGGAGAAATTTTATCTTTACCAACATTAAATATTTGACAAACTCATCCTTTTCTAAAAAGTAAAATAAGTTTTTCTGAACACTTCCCTTTACCAGAGGGAGACAAAATGAAAAGAATAAATGTTAGGGGCAAAAAAACATAATTTCTCTGACTGGCTGACACTAGCAAAAGGTTAGAAAAACTTATTTTGAGAATCTAAGTCAAATTTCATTTGGACCTAAATCAGAGGAGAGAAGAGAGATTTTATTATTCTTTTTTAAGAAATAACATGTATTAATTCTCTTTCAGAAAAAGAAAAATTGCATTTCTCCCCTAAAAAAACTGAATGGTGGGCTGGAGAAGAGTCGGTAGAAATAGTATTGTTACTTTGCTATTTGTATAAGAAAAAAACTTCCCTCCTGAAGATTGAGGAGGAAGTTTTTTTTGAATTCCTGTGTGGTCCAGTAATACATAGACAAGTGGAATTTTTAATTTTACATAATTCATACGTGGTCCACTTGTCTATATGTTACCGAACCACACAGAAATTCAAGAGGAGCTTCCTCCGGCTAATTTGTCTGTCTCATTCTCATATTTTTGAGTATTTTTATCTTTTTCTTTGTTAATCTAAAATTATTCAACTTGTCCAGTTTTTTGGGTATTTCTTTTCATATTTTTGGGTATTTTTCTCATATTTGTATAATTGCATTTCTCCTTTTTGCCGACTTGTCCAGTTTTCTAATGTATAACCCTTTTCAGCAAAGAGAGAGGCAGAAGAAAGAATGGAAAGAAAAAAGAAAAACAATCATTTCCAATACATGCTTTTGTATTTTTATTCCACTTTATCCTGTTTTTATTTTTATTTCTTACCACTTATCTATAACCGGATGGATAATTGGATATTCCAATTCCTTTCTGTTGCGCTTTTATTTCTAACCTCCAGATCGTTCATATTCGTCACTTTTCTTCCCACGAAAAAGTGCATTGGAGAATATTATTTCCCTCTTTGACTTACCTGCCATCTTCACAACGCCATGGCAGAATATTAGTAGACTCCAAGTAATCATCCCTCCAAACGTTGCAGAATTCGCTTCAAGTGTAAGACTCTTTTGGACGGAATAAACCTCAGTGTATATAAAGGAGTCTCTTTGATGAGTCTGTGAAAATTGGTGTCTTCTTCCCCTTCTTGCAGTTTCTAATGGCAGGGCCTGATTGTCAAGCCAATCAGGACAAGAATGGTGATATTCTGCAGATTTTAGCAGCTCAAGGGGTTGGCTTCCTTCTCTCCGGTGAAGAAAAGGTTCTGTTCTGCGTTCTCTCTTGTTTAGAGTTAAATTATAAATTTAGTCATTTAATAGGGACCTACACTTTAAAAGGTATTTGGTAGATCTTGTGAACTTTCAATTTTATGCCCAGTAAGGTTGTTGTTAGAGATCTATTAGATATAACTTTAAAAGTCTAGAGAATAAAAAAATTCATTTTTTTCTACGTTATTGTTACTCTGTTGCCTAAATTCAAAGTCCATTTTCAAACTTTTTACTGTATTTGGTAACATAGTTAAAATTACTTTTAAAAATTCTAAAAACACTTTTAAAGTGCATCTAAAATTCTGTAATTAGCTTTGATGGAAGTTTCTGTTTCTGATACGCATGTTATTCATAGCAAATCGAAACCCAAAAAAAAATGATAAATCGATCTTTATATACAATAGGTGTCACCGAAATTGTGTGCCGGGAAGATGATTTGCCTCTTCTTTTCAGCAAACTGGTGTAGACCTTGCAGGACTTTCACACCACAGTTGGTTCAGCTCTACAACACTCTGCAAACAAGAGGCGAAAAGCTAGAGATTATCCTCGTATCTTTAGACCATGACAAGAATGAATTTGAGCAGCACGTTCGGACCGTGCCATGGCTGGCTGTCCCATTCGACGTTGAGTTACGGAAACTATTGTGTGGGAAATACCACGTCGATCGCATCCCGTCCTTTGTTCCGCTTTGTGGAGATGAGATTTCGAAACAGAATGATATGATTGGCTTTATTGAAGACTATGGCGCTGAAGCATTTCCTTTCACAAGGAAGAGAAGGCAGGAGCTGAAGTCTGTGGATTGTGCCAAGCGTGAAGAAGGAAGGCTTGAAGAACTCCTAGGGAACCGAGGACATAACTATGTTATTTCTAGACATGGAGGAAAGGTAACACCAAACAATCTGATAACTTATTTCTGATTTATTCAATTTTCGTCAACTTTCAAATCGTCTATTTTAGTCTCGTTTAACTTACAAAACATAATAATTTTGGTCCTTTTTGGTATTCTGCCATCAATTATAGCCCCTTCGTATACTCCCCTCAGTCAGTATATGTGGCTTCAGTACATTTTTATATCGGGTAGGTTATGACTAACATTCTTCCTAGATTTGAAAATTTACGGAAGGCCTAAACAAGTGGCTATCAATATTAGTTGATGAAGAAATGATATTACGGAGATTCGAACACAAGACTTTTTGCTTTGATACCATGTTAAGTCATAATCAACCTAAAAGCTTAAACTGATAGGTTACGACAAATTTAATGATTTATCAACATTTTAACATAAACTACGAAACAATCTGATTTTTTCCCCGAATTTTAAGGTAAAGTTCTGATGTTAAAGTTCATCTCATTGCAGACACCAGTATCTCAGCTAGGTGGCAAGACAATAGGCCTCTATTTTGGTGCATATTGGAGCCCTCCCAGTCGTTCATTCACAGAAAAACTTTCCAAAGTATACAAGGACATCATGGACACTACAGAAAACCATTCCTTCGAAGTAATCTTGGTCTCCACGGACCGAAACCTCGACGAATTTAAACTCAACATAATAGACATGCCGTGGCTCGCGATCCCATACGAGGATGAGACCCGGCGAGACCTCTACAGGATCTTTGACGTCAAGGGAATCCCGGCATTAGTCGTGATCGGAGTGGATGTAAAGACAGTGAGCGAAAATGGAAGAGGCTTGGTTTCCTTGTATGGGGCAGAGGCATTCCCATTTACAGAAGCAAGAATAGAGGAGCTGGAAGAAGCAGTGAAAAAGGAAGCAGAGGAATTGCCTTCAAATGTGGAGGACATAAAGCATGAGCATGAGCTGAAATTGGAGCTGGCAAAGGCCTATGTGTGTGATTTTTGCAAACGGCATGGCAGGTTTTGGGCATTTTCTTGTCATGTTTGTGATTATGATCTTCATCCAAGCTGTGTTGAGCAGAGAAATGTATAACAAGTAGTAATAAAGTTTGAAGACGGGAGGTAATTTTAGTTCACGATATTTTTTTTTTGACGGATCGTAACACACTGTCTCGAGCAGTTTAAAAAGTAGAAATTTGAATGTCTGACCTTTAGAGAGGTTATTGGTGCCTTAAGTAGGTTGGCGAATATAATAATTTTTTCCTTTCTTTAATTGAGTTCAACAATTGTGAGTGGGAGATTGAACCATTAATTTTTGAGATTGTAATAAATACTTTTTCAATCCAGTTATGATGTAGTCTTTTAATTTTAAATTTGATCGATTATACCTTTTGAACATTGGTGGTTGCATTTCAAAAATTACATTTTTCTTTATTGTATTAAAGAAAATTGTGAAATTTATTAGAAAGTATCGAGATATATAAATAATAAATAATATATATATATATATCTCTTAGTCATGTCACAATAATTTCAAAGAAGATGTCGTGAATTCAGCCTGCATGCTATCCAAATTGACAACAAAACGAAGATACACTAAATGCACGTCGACTCCATTTATGACAAATTTAAGTTCAACTTTCTTTAATGTAACTCGGATTTAACTTCAGTTTATTTATTGTCAACTTAGACAGCATATAAGTTAAGTTCTCGACATCTTCTTGGTGACATAACTAAGACGTCTTATTTTATATCAATAACATTATTTATTTTCTTTCAAAAGATAGACATAGACTATAGTATTATTACGAGGATAAAGATTCAAATTTTCAACCAATAAAAAAAGTTACAAACCTCTCCAACAAAAAACCAAAGCTACAAGAGGCCACCTGGATGAGGTGTCTCAAGTTGGGAAAATTGAATTGGGAACAACAAAATGGAACATCAGACAGACACTTCCAATTTTTTGGGAGCCAGAAAACAGCAACAAACACAAACCCGCAAATCATGGGTCTCTCTCTCATTACCCAAAGATGGAGCCTTTTTCAGTTATTTTTGGTAACTCCCCTCGCCTCTGCCCATCATATCAAAATCACCCTCTAATTGCAAGGCCAAAGAGGAGAGAGAGAGGGAATTAGGTCAAAGAGAAAATTTTTTCCTTTTTTTTTTTTTGGTTTGGCTTCTCCTCTTTCTCTGTTTCTCCCTCTCTCTTAGGTTTTTGGAGAAGGGGAGAAAGAAGAAAAAAAGGGTGATAAATGTGGAATCAGAAGCAAACAAAAGAAAAGGAGGGGGCCACTGGCAATGAATTGGTGGCGATTGCCATTGATAAGGACAAAGGAAGCCAAAATGCTCTCAAATGGGCCACTGAGAATCTCCTTCTTAAGGGCCAAACTGCCATTCTCATCCATGTCAAGCTCAAATCTTCCTCTAATTCCACCTCTTACATGGCCTCCCCAAGTAAGTTTCACCCATTTCCATATCCACCATTGGGCTCAATTCCAAAATTTGTCCTTTGTCTAATAGATCCCTGTTGTTAACTTCGTTGGTTTAATGCTTATGTGGCATGCTGCCTGCAATGCGTTCGGTGGTATAAATATTAAGGTCTCGTTTGATAACCATTTTGTTTTTGAAAATTAAGCTTACAACCACTCCTTCTGCCGGTGAATTATTTTGTTTTGTTATGAAAGAAAAGTAGTTTTTGTTTTTAAAATTTGGGTAAGAATTCAAATGTGATAGGAATAACGATGAAAAACATATCAAAGAAATTATGAGAAAACAGACGTAAAACTAAAAATGAAATCCTTATCCAAAATCCAGAAAGTTTAGGGACTCTTTGAAAACTTTTTGAAGTAAAGGGGCTAAATGGACCATTCTTATTATCAGTTAAATCTCAGACAAAAGAGGAATTTGGTAATGTTAGAAAGATTTATAGAGTTGAGGGGGAAATTTTTGTTTATGGGTTAAGAGAATCATCATTTAACTGATTGGGAATAGCATTACTTTGTATTTGTTTTTTCATGCTATGTTCTTCAAACTTGCAATGTCAACCAATTAACTTCCATGAAAGTAACATTATTAGCTTTTTTTTGGTGCAGAGGTAACCTCTGCAACTGACAATGCCAATGGGAATTTTTTGATAGGCAAGGATTTGGATCCAGTCACGAGGGATTTGTTCCTTCCTTTTCGTTGTTTCTGTACTCGAAAAGATGTAAGTTATCCACTGTTAAGTGAAGTAATAACTTGAAAGTTCAATGGAGTTTGACATAGATATTAGGGAAGTATGCAAAAGAAAAGGAAAAAAAGTATTCAGCCAAGATGTGTTTTGGAGCATTCTTATCATAAATTTATCTCATTTTCTGGCATTAGATATTCTGCAAAGACATTATCTTAGAAGACACAGACGTGTCAAAAGCATTGCTCGAATATGTCTCTCAGGCTGCAATCGAGAATTTGGTTGTCGGTACCACGACCAAAAATGGCTTCTTGAGGTTTGTAGTTAGTCTAGTAAATTCTTCACTCACATGAAATTAAAGTTCAGAGCTTGTTCTATTTTGAAACATTCTTGTTTTCAGTTTGTATGCAATTTTAGAAGCGTTTCTTAAAAAAAGAGAAGTATGAACAAGCCACAAGGAATAGCTACTAAAAATAATTAGTTTAAGAAAAATTGGAAATAAGAGATAGGAGACGAGAAACATGAACCTTAACAAACAACCCCTCAAATACTTGTTTTTGTGTTTCATTTGTTTTGAGTTTGAAAGGAATTCATCACGCCTTTCCCGGCCGTCTTTCCTATACCATTTTGCCTCAGAAGATTCAAGACCACAGATATTCCAGGGAGTGTTATTAAAGGAGCACCAGATTTCTGCACTGTTTATGTCATATCAAGAGGAAAAATTCAAACTATGCGATCGGCCTCGCGTCCTGCTCCCACTTCTTCTCCTCTTAGAAGTTTTTTGCTCAACCAATCAGGCATTAAATCCCCTTTATCAGAGTCGCAAGTTTCTCAAATCCAAAGTATGGGTTCTTTTTCTTCCTGTAATGTTGTAATGCACTTTGCTTTTCTTTAGTAAACTTCACCTCTACCATGGTTTGCCTTCAAATAAACGGTCTGTTCTTTACCAGGAATCGAAAAGCCTCCTCTCGAAGCAGCACGTAGATCGCAAGACAACATCGAGTTCAGGTCTGCAACATGCTACTACAAATTGATATTATGATATCTTAAAGAGTTCACTATGTTTCAAACATTGACAGCATTCAAAAGGAATGTAAAGGATAAAATTGGATATGAGTAATGCTATTCAACTCACTGTTGCTTCTCTGTTAGTAATTTGTCAAGAGTGTTGCTAAGAAAATTGTCTTTGGGAGCAGGTCGCCGTTCACTAGGAAAGGCTACAACGGCAAAATGCCTGGGGAAATGAGTTTACCTGATACCGATATTTCTTTTGTTAGCTCGGGAAGGCCGAGTGTTGACCGATTGTTCCCTTCATACTTTGACACCCCAGATTCGGGTAGGGTCACCCCACGACTGTCCAGTGGCACCGAAGCTGATATGTATAATAGCTTCGAGTCACAGCCGTTTGGCCGCAGGTCAGTGGATGTGAACTACCCACCTGAATTTTTATCGGTCTTCCCGGATGGTGACAGATTATCAACTTCGTCACAGAATATGGTAAAGAGCATTAGTAATTTACTTTGGGAATGCTAATGTTTAACAGTTCGATTTTACTCTTCACTTATGGAATGGATGTATAGAACTGTAGAAGATATGATTCTGAGTTTTATGAGTTGATAACTGCAGGAAGATGTAGAGGCTGAGATGAGGAGGCTGAAGCTGGAACTAAAGCAAACTATGGAAATGTATAGCACAGCCTGCAAGGAAGCACTTACAGCCAAGCAAAAGGTGAAAGAGACTGCATCTTTTTTACTGAAATATTTTAGAAGTTAAAACAAACTCTTCACATATACTGCAGGCGGTAGAGCTTCAGCGATGGAAATCGGAGGAAGAACGGAGACTAGAGGAGGCAAGGCTTGCCGAGGAAGCTGCATTGGCAATAGTCGAGCAGGAAAAGGCCAAGTCTCAAGCCGCTATTGAGGCTGCTGAAGCTGCTAAAAGGATTGCTGAGTTGGAAGCACAGAAGAGAATTAACGCAGAATTGAAAGCATTCAAGGAAGCAGAAGAGAAAAAGAAGGCATTGGATGCTTTGGCGCACACGGATGTCAGGTATCGGAAGTACTCGATCGAGGAGATTGAAGCTGCAACGGAGTTCTTTTCTGAATCTTTAAAGATTGGAGAGGGAGGTTATGGGCCCGTCTACAAGGGTTATTTAGACCACACACCAGTCGCGATTAAGGTCCTACGACCCGATGCTGCTCAAGGAAGGTCACAGTTTCAACAAGAGGTGAGGAATCTAAAGCTATCCCACCATAGATTCTCCATATGATTTTTGTTGCAAAATACTCTGCTATAACTTATCTTTTTGTACTACTTTTAGGTTGAAGTACTGAGCTGCATACGACATCCTAACATGGTTCTTCTCCTCGGGGCGTGCCCGGAATATGGTTGCTTGGTCTATGAGTTCATGGCGAATGGTAGCTTGGATGACTGCCTCTTTCACCGGAGAGAAAACTTGAAACCTCTTTCGTGGCAACTTAGATTCAAAATTGCAGCTGAAATTGGGACAAGCTTGTTGTTCCTCCACCAAACCAAGCCTGAGCCACTCGTGCACCGTGATCTTAAACCCGCAAATATCTTGCTTGATCGCAACTTTGTTAGCAAGATTAGTGATGTTGGTTTGGCCAGGCTTGTTCCCCCTTCTGTAGCAGACAGTGTAACACAATACAGAATGACTTCAACTGCTGGCACGTTCTGCTATATCGATCCCGAGTATCAACAGACTGGAATGCTCGGGGTGAAGTCAGACATATATTCTTTGGGGATCATGTTTTTGCAGCTGATTACAGCAAAGCCACCAATGGGATTGACTCATCATGTGGAAAGAGCTATTGAGAAAGGAAAGTTCTCTGAATTGCTTGATCAGTCAGTTACTGATTGGCCAGCTGAAGAGACTCTATGCTTTGCACAATTGGCTTTGAAATGTGCAGAGTTGAGAAGGAAAGATCGGCCCGATCTTAGAAAGGTCGTTCTACCGGAACTCATCAGGTTTCGATCGCTTGCCGAAGCCAACACGTCCCCGCCGATGGCAGATGGTGTTACCAGCCCTGTGTTCAGCCGCAGTCAGGTTTCAGCTTTCAAGCAAGTAAGACTAAGGACCGTTTTAGTAATAATTTTGTTTTTCCTTTTTCGTTGGTATGTTTTTTAAAAATTATGCCTGTTTTTTCCTATCAAAATGGATGTTTTTGCTTCCACACAGGTTTTGAACAATCCCATCAATATTTTCACATCACAACTTCACAATCCAAATACTTATAACTTCTTGTTGATTGCAGGACTTAAGCGGTGATCGTGTTTCGTCACAATCTTCCAACAGCTCCAACCGAGCCTTGTCGTGCTCGCCATCGTAGTAAAAAGTTATTTTCCGAAGGAAGATGTTCAAGTATGGGGCGCAACAAAAGATAAATTTTGTAGAAAATTTAGTGTTCATAGGTAGATCAGCCTATACTCTTTACTTCTTTTTCCCTCCCCTCCTCTTCTCCATTTGTTTATTAACAGTTAGAAGCAATTAGAGCTTTCAAACATGTTATATATATGTAGTATTTGGATACTTCCATTGTATGTAATAGGGGATCAGAGATATGTATAAATACATCAAATCTATGTGCAATATATTCATCACTTTGTACCTCACTAAGCTCTAATGAAACACATATTTAAAATCGGTGGATAGGGACTAAAGTGTCTTACGATGTTCTAAATCCAAGTTACATACCACTTGAGTCACCGAACAATCATTAACTTGGGATTTTCTTCAGCTCTAAGATGAGATGAGTCGACATCGAAGTACATCTCATCGAAGTGCTAAACGACTCTGTCGATAAGAACTTTTGAGAGTCATTAAGCATGTTATCTTCGATATACCTTTGATCTGTTGCATGAGAGCCCTTCCACATAGTTGGAACTCGTGGATCACTATGATCAACTTTCGTCTCTATTTGACTAGCAACCTTTTAGCTAGGCAAGCTTGAAGCTTGAGTGATTGAAGTTCAAAAGAGAGGAATAAAACGATCAAACAAGACTTGTTGCGATGTTTAGACACCATGATAAATAAATGAAATTCATTAACTTGATAATATTGATCTCTCAAACGCAATCACAAGCATAAGAAACATTAGAAAATTATGGGACAATCAAAGCCTTATACAACATCTCAACCTCGTTTTGATAAACACGCGCATATATATTATTTTTTTTTTCAAAAATCAAAACTTATTTTTTTATATCACACACATCTGAGCCAATTTACACACCTTGACAAATTTCACAACACACTTTTCTAGCCCTACCATATATATTTATTAAGAAATTCATAGAATTTTAATATCTTAAACCGTGATTACTTTAAAATTTGAACATAACCATTTATTTTTCCTTCTTCCATTCAAGCTTTTAGACATAATTGGAGCATAAATCAAGATATTAAAATATGCGGTACACATTTAGTAGATAAAATTTAATTAAAGAAACAAAAAATAGTACTTATTTTACACATAAAACTCTTTACGTGAACTTAATCATAATTCAACTTGTTTATGCAAAGGTTTGCACAACAGTGTGTTTCTGGTTGTAGTTCGAACCCGGCCTCTGGACCGACTTGACCACTTGGGCGGACCTGCACATAAAGGTGAGCACTYCGACGATCAAGTCAGTATAGGTCGGATTCCAAGTCTAACTCGAAGCCAGAAATCATCGTACCTGATCGTGGGGTGAGGTCCTCTACTTATGGGTGGTAGTCCCGCTAATCTCGCGGCGGTTACACCCRGTAATCTCGGGACCGTCGGTTACACCCGGTGATCTCGGGACCGACGGTTACGCCCGATAATTACGCCGCAGACAGTTGCTCACATCGGCCCCTACCGAGCTCTCCGGTAGGTCGGACCTGGGCTGGGTTCACCTCGGCCCTCATGCTTAGCTTTCTTCGGTGTTGGTGGCAGCCGTCTCGGCTATCCGAGCTGGGACGACTCATGAGCCATCTTGGAGCACCAATGGGGGTCCTCCACGTGTCCAGGGTATACCCTGCCCCAAACACAACTATTTAAAATATATATCCTAAATAAAAAAGATCATGATTTTAAACTTATATAATTACGTGGCCAATCAAAAGTAATGATATTTTTATTACTACATGTCTGTTCTCCACTACTTTGTAAAAGGCAATAGAAATCTCAAATTTATCATTTTGATATGATATTAAAAGAGAAAGGAAAAAAAAAAAAGGACGACGAATGCTATATATAAATTTTTTCGATTTAAGTTTTTGAAAAATGGACTAGTTTTTGGGGGTTCTCTCCATTGCAAGATGAAAAAGAAAAAAAAAAGGAATAAAAGGGAGTCAATTTCTGAGGTTGAATCTTGAAAATTGAAACTTGAGAGAAGTTGCGAAGAAGGAAGCAAGAAACTAGAGAGAGAGAGAGAGAGAGAGAGCAGTCCCACGATTTCCTTGTAAACGTTGAATCTTGATGTTGCGGCATTTAGCGACAAAATGGGTCTGATTCCAAATCCGATGGCTATGGCTTTTTGCTTCCCCATTTTTGCATTCTACGCTTCCCTTTCACCGACACCTATTCCTAATCCTCCATTTCCCTCAATTCCCACTTTTCGCAATTGGGTTTCTCCCCATTTTTCTATTTTCCTCGAATCCCACTCTCTCTCTCGGTTTACTTTCTTACTCACAGTCCCCATTTCCTCAAAATTTTCCCTCTTTTTTCTTCATTCACCCATTTGCATTTTAAGATGGAATGGATCCCGTGAGAATGTAATTGACTGCAATTTCTCAGGTATCTGATTCGTCGCCTCTCATTTCATTTCCCTTTGTGGATCCATGAACTAATGTTTCGTCGCCGTATGTGATTAGATCTTCATCTCTCGCTGGGGAAAAATTGCAGGTTGTTGATTGTGATTATGGGTCTTCATCTGTGTTTCTCGAGGTGATTGCTTCTGAATTTGCTTTTGGCGGGATCGTCGGTGGTTGATTTGGGGGGAAGATTTCGCTATTTTGATCCTCGATCTAGCCATCGATAATGGACATCCTCGGCGATTCTGATAAGAACTCTTCTCGGAGGTATTTCAAATAGCTGTCTCTGAATCTTGAAACCATTGTTTTTCTTTTGCATACACGAACGGGTAATTGAGTTGAGCTTGCTTCTTCTTCGTTGTAGTCTTGTGGCGGCTGTATCCTATGGAATTGCTTCGATGGCTATGGTTTTTCTGAACAAGGCCGTACTGATGCAGTACTCACACTCAATGACCCTTCTCACTCTGCAGGTAAGATTTCTGGAGTGGGATTTCGTTTTGATTTCTCTCTCACTCTTTCAATTGCATTCAATCTTCATTTTTCATAGCAATTGGCAACGACATTGCTTATTCACTTCGGTAGAAGAATGGGGTTCGCGAAAGCCAAGGGGTTTGATATGCAAACAGCAAAAAGAATTCTTCCGGTTTCATTGTTTTACAATGCAAATGTGGCGTTTGCTCTTGCTAGCTTGAAAGGAGTTAACATCCCAATGTATATTGCCATTAAAAGACTCACTCCTCTTGCTGTTCTTATTGCGGGATTCTTTTCGGGCAAGGGAAGGCCCACGGCGCAGGTATTCTTCAACGGCAATTGCTTAGTTTCCTGAATTACATGCCCTCTCTTTGGCTGAGAAGAGTTTTGTAACCATGCCTCATTATAGTATTATTGCCAGTGACTTTGTTTTTGTGATTTTTGGCCCTTCCTGTTAAATTCAGGTTATTCTTTCAGTACTGTTGACTGCTGCTGGGGTCCTTGTTGCTGCATTGGGAGATTTTTCATTTGACCTTGTTGGTTATAGCATGGCCTTCACTTCTGTTTTCTTCCAGGTGATTACATTTGTAGTTGTACATAGTTGCTCTCACTATGTTTTCGATAAAACTTAAATGGAGGTTCAGTGTCATGTTATAGTTTATATGGGCAAGATCGTTTCGGGAGTTCATTGTAAAATAAGTTGGTTGGCAGTTTTTTAGCTATGTCCCAGGGAAAAGAGTGATGAATAAAGGGGTGGCGAGCGTGGTACAAAAATACTTGAGTAAGGAATTGTTGGAGGGAGATAGCTTGCTATTGAGTATTACCTTTTTATTTCCATTTTATACAGTAATATGCAACGAGTTTCTATTAGCTTTACCCTTAGAAATGCATTTTTTTCCCTGTGAACTCGAGGCCACACTCCCTTGCCTAATGATTATGCTCATGGCCTACTCTCACCAATTTCTGAGGAGGCTTTCCCGCCCCGATGCCAACTTTCAAAAATGTCATTATCAAGAGTTTTAAGTTGATAGGTTTTCATCTTCCAACATCTCAAACCCTTATGAGGAGGCCTTAGAAATTCTCATGAACATTTAGGTCCCATTTGATAACCATTCACTTTTGGTCTTCTTTCTCTAAAAATTAAGCTTAGAAACCTTACTTTTACCAATGCGTTCCTTTGTTTTGTTGTATAAACATTTTTAAAATCTAGGCCAAATTTTTTAAAACAGCAAAAAAATAGTTTTTGTTTTTGAAATTTGGCTAAAAATTCAAATATTTTTTCAAGAGAGGCGAAAAACTTACCAAAGAAATTGTACAAAACAGCATAACTTTTAAAAACAGAAAACTAAAAACGAAATGGTTATCAAACGATGCCTTATTAATTCAGTTTGGATGGATAAATTCATTTATTTTGCTAAGAAAATGCATTTACCTCTTTCTATCTACTGGTCTATTCTTCATTGCAGACTATGTACCTTGTATTGGTGGAGAAGTCAGGTGCAGAGGACGGGCTTTCATCCATCGAAATCATGTTTTACAACAGTTTTTTGTCTCTTCCATTTTTGTTATTTCTCATTATAGGTACTGGTGAATTCCCAGATTCTTTATCATTATTATTTGCAAAGGTCAGTTTCTTTTTAACCCATTTAGTTCTTTTTTTCTTTTTTTTTTTTTTGTCGAATTCATTATTTTATACAAGCAACAATTCTCAAGTAAAAATGCCAGACTGCTGGATGGGTTTCTCCTTCTACCTTTGTCAATATTGTCATACATGCATTCTCTGCTACCTTTTCTCTAGTAATGTCAGTGTATAAAACTAGTAATTAGCTTCTTTTAGCACAGTTGAAATGGCTTTTAGAAATCTTTTATGTATTATTGAAGTTCAATAATTTGCTTGAGACAAAAATTTTGCACTTTTGGCTTTTAATCAATCTGAAGTTTGAACACTTTCTTGTGTGAAAGAAGAATTCTGGTTTCTAATAGTAGAAGGATGAAACGTGAAACTATTGATGACGGGTTATCTCGAACACTGGTAGTTCGTTGTTGTCAACTAATTAGCTGTCGGGCGATCTAAGGGGAGATACTGGTTAAAGTCTGATTTCTTCTTGGCCTTTCTATCTTTCTGGTTTCTTCAATTTCCTTCTGAATTGCATGCCATCTACTAGCTTTGAGTTTACCTGATCTGCAACCGTATGTAGAATGGGAATTCTTTTACCTCTGGTAAAAAGTTCTTATGTCGATTTTAAATCCATGCCGAATTATGTAACCGATTATCTGGAAGACTGTTTTTTAGGGGGGGTTCTTGAGGAGCAATTGAAATGAGCTTGTTCTGGATTATGTACTAAAGCTAATAGCTGTATATTTCTTGTTAATATTTGCAGAGTAATTCATTCTCCTTTTTGGTTATCTTCCTCCTTTCACTGGTCATGGGGATTGTTCTCAACTTCACAATGTTCTTATGTACCATAGTAAACTCGGCTCTGACAACAACAATCGTTGGCGTCCTCAAAGGGGTTGGATCAACGGTATGCAAGCGTTCCCGCTTTTTAGACTTCATTTATTGTTGTATCCCAGAATTTGATCCTGTCCCTTGTATTGCTTCCATTATGCCATTCTATTAACCAGTGAGTTACATTAGCTAAGTGAAGCTCACCGTGTTTGTTCTCTCGTTTCGTTCCTCAGACCCTCGGCTTTGTCATATTGGGCGGTGTGAAAGTGCACGCTCTGAACGTCACGGGCTTGGTTATCAACACGGCGGGCGGTGTCTGGTATTCGTATGCTAAGTATCAACAGAAGAAGAGCAAGATACCGAAGTTAACATCCGACGTAGACGCTCATCGTAAGTAAGAGGGAGTAGTATAGGAAGAATTAAAGTTGGTGAAGAAAAAGATTTCTAGTTTGCATAAGGCTTCATATTGTAGTTGGATATCTTCTTCTATTACTTCTTTTTATTCAAAAAAATAAAAATTGCAAAAGTCACCCCTAACCTTTATGCTACAATCAAATGATTACAATTAAATCATAAAATGATTACGATTAAATCATAAAATAATTACAATTAAATCTTGCAAAATGCATTAACTATCTATTATAATTGCGATGATCCAACTCTCAAATTATAGGATTACCATTTAACTCAAAAATTTTGTTTCAATTCTATAAAATTTGAAAACTATAATAATAACCATGATAAATTTGGTTTTCAAATCTATGATAAACCGATATTTATAATTCAAGGTGGATGGTGTATTTTGCAATCTCTTTTTTTTTCTTCAGAGGAAGAAGGGATCTTTAAGTTTTTTTTTTTTTAATGAAATGTATTAATTAATAATTTTTAATTCATTATGATAACAATGAGAATTTTAAAAACTAAAGATCAAATCAAGGGTTTTTAAAATACCATTTAAAAAGTTGTTCATTGTGTTTTAGTAATATACAAACAAAATAACCTTTGCAAAAAAGAAATATATAACAACTATTTAGTTAAATCTAAAATATTATTAATTAATTATATTTTTATCAAAAAGTACGTTTTTAGTTCCTAAAATTTAGAAAATAGTTCGATCAATCTAGTTGACTAACGGAACGATGATATGACATAGTTGACGTGATCAATTTTAAATGAAGTGTCCTTTTTTTTATGAATTTAAAGCATTAACCTATGTGGCTTTTTATTGGATTATGTGGCATTTTTTCTTCCTTTTCTTATTTTTTCTCTCTTTTCACTCTGTCTCTCTTCTCCTTTTCCTCTTCATCTCTTCTTTCTTCGACAATAGCTTGCCAACGCCGACAACCGGTGTCCGGCACCACTGCCGTTTCAGAATATACCGGCGACCGCTCCACGCCCACAACTACCGACGACCACGACGACCCTCTGTTCATTTCAGATCCGAAATAAATTTGGTTTTAGATCTGGAAAGAATGTTCAGTTTCAGATCTGAATAACGTTATGTAGGTGCGAAGAATGATGGTAAAAATAAGGGTAAATGAAGGCGTAGATTTTCAGCGCAGTGGCAAGCTTATGCCGGAGATGAAGAAGAAGAGAGGAAGGAGAAGAAAAGAGAGAGAAAATTCGTTTGCGTGGAGCGCTCCACGGTATATTCTGAAACGGTAGCGGCGCCGGACACCGGTGGTCGGCGTTGATCGGCGGTAGTCGGCGTTGGCAAGCTATTGCCGGAGAAGAAGAGACGAAGAGGGAAGGAGAAAGAGAGAAAAGAAGGAAGAGAGACAAAGTGAAAAGAGAAAAAAATAAGAAAAAAGAAAAAAATATGACACATAATCGAATAAAAAGCCATATATGTTATAAAATTTATAAAATTATTTTCTTTATAATATTATATGATTTATTTTACCTATTTTAATTTTAATAAAAATAAAATAAGTTTATAATTTGAAATGGTATATTTATTAAAGTTTTTATCTTTTATAATTAATTATGCACTTTTATAATCGGAAAACACTGAAAATATAAAAATATTATTTTCATATTTTGCTCTCAGTATCGTTTTCAAAAATAAATCTATCAACGTCTGAACGTCCGAAGACAAGAGAAAAATGTTTCGTAGGGAACTTGTTTCATGTTGGTGTATTCATATTGGTTAGACGTTGGTATACCGAACAGATCATGAACATTCACATCTCGGATTCAATCTCAAATCGGCTCTAATATTACTCTAATATTTTCGAGATGATTCAATATATTTAACTTAATCTTGAAGATATATTTTACATGTTCAATGGAAATTCGATTATTGAAATAAAAATTCTGTGGATTGAGGGAGAATAAAAGGGGATTTTTTAAAAAAATAATATTTTTATTTAAACTGTGAAGAGACGGTCAAACGTGGGAATAAATTCAAAAGTATTATTTTTTAAATCAATTTTAAAAGAAATATTTTTTATATAATTTTATTGAATGCAGTATTATTTTAAAAATAAGTTTAAATAAAAACATTATTTAAAAAAAATCGAATAAAAAGGTACGTCGTGAAAAAGCAATCAATCGCAAATTTTTATTTTATTTTATTTTTCTTGAGCAATGAATCACATTCACAACTCTCCCGCCTGCGGAAAAATGGATTAAAAAAAAAACCATCAGGATCTTGGCGTGAAGTGAGAGAAATAGAATATACATATATATTATGTAACTATATCATAAGTGTAATTCAATCGGAATCAAATGAAATCAAAGTACAACATGTTTGGCGGATTCGAATACACAACTTCTTGATTAGAGTTATATGCCAACTAGAGTTGAACTATAATCGTTTTGGCTTTACTCCAAACTATATGTTTACTACAAATCATAATTTTATATTTCAGATTAACCTATATTTAGAATCCTCCAAACTCTTACCACTTTAAATGCTATTTTAATGGTGTACTTTTTAATTTTGATTTATTTTAGTCTACGTTTTATTTTGATCTAGGTACTTTTAACTTTTGTTTTAGTTCATTTTAATCGTTTTACTTTTTAGACGTCTATTTCGTTTATATATTTTTAAAAAGTGATTAATTTAGTTCTTCTTTTCAAAATTTTAACACAAATTTTATACAAAACATTTAAACGTTTGATACCATTTCATTTTCTTTTTGGTTTTCTATTTTTAAAAATTTACTTTCATGTTTCTTTGTTTTGTTATATAATTTTTATGATAAATTTTGAAAACAATAGTTTTCGAAAACTTATTTTTATTTTTAGAATTTTCTTACCATTCAAATATGTTTTCGAAGGTAAAAAAACCTACTAATGAACTTGATAATTGAAAAAAACGAAATGGTTATCAAACATTGAGGAAAAAAATGAAATAAAAATGAAATGAAACGATTAAAATAGTCTATTTTTAAAAATACCAAAAGCAGATCCAAATGAAACAATATAGAAAGTAAGTGATCCTTTATTTAAACATGCTTTACATTATTTTAATTAAAAAAAAAAGAAAAGGGAAAGAAAAAAAGGGTTAGTAAAAGAAAGGCATATTAAACGGGAGATGAACCACGTAACAGTTGTTTTAGCCTTCTAATCACACAGTCAGATGTCTATTTAAATCTCTAACAACCATTAACGAACCTCACGCCTTTCTCTCTCCTTTTTTTTTTCTTTAATCAATTTTCCTTTTTTCTCCCATAACTTTCCATGAACATTTTTCTCCTTCTGCAACTCTCCTCCTTCAACCTCCATTCCATCTCACAGTAAGTTCTCTCACTTCTTTTCATTCTATTTTCTGCATTGCGTGCTTTCTCTTCTGGACTTCTGTGAGTAATATTCTCTCTGTTTCCCGGAATTTGGACGCGTTTTGATCTAATGTGAATTTCTTCGTGATTTTACTTTTTTTTTTCGATGAATCGGGAGAATCTGTTGTTTGACTTGGCGATGAATTTGTTGTTACTATGTGTTTTTGTGTTCGATCAATCGTTTCGTAATTTTCATGAACTTCTCGAATCTTTTATTCGTTTTTTGTTCTGTTTTTAGTTCTGATGATTTGAGGATTCGAAGTTTTAGGGCTCATCAGCGGTGATGGAGAAGAAAATGGCACCAGGAAGCGAGCCGTATGCCCCGAGGAACATCCTCATCACGGGAGCAGCAGGCTTCATAGCATCTCATGTCACCAATCGTTTGATAAAAAACTATCCTCATTATAAGATTGTGGCTCTTGACAAGCTAGATTACTGCTCCAACATCAAGAACCTGCGCCCTTCTCAGACCTCCCCCAATTTCCGATTCATAAAGGGCGATATCGTCTCCGCAGATCTCATCAATTACCTCTTGGTTGCTGAAGAAATCGACACGATTATGCACTTTGCTGCACAAACACACGTAGACAACTCGTTTGGGAACTCGTTCGAGTTCACGAACAACAACATTTATGGTACTCATGTTCTTCTTGAGGCCTGCAAAGTGACTCAAAGGATCAAGAGGTTCATTCATGTCAGCACTGATGAGGTTTATGGTGAGACTGATTTAGAGACTGATATTGGGAATCCTGAGGCTTCACAGCTTCTTCCCACGAATCCTTACTCTGCAACTAAGGCAGGGGCTGAAATGCTGGTCATGGCTTATCATCGGTCCTACGGCCTCCCAACGATAACAACTCGAGGCAATAATGTGTATGGACCTAATCAATATCCAGAGAAGCTTATCCCCAAATTTTTTCTTCTGGCCATGAAAGGTGAGAAACTGCCAATTCATGGGAATGGCTCAAATGTGAGAAGCTATCTATATTGTGAGGATGTTGCTGAGGCATTTGAGGTGATTCTGCATAAAGGGGTGATAGGTCATGTTTACAATATTGGTACCAAAAAGGAGAGGAGAGTTTTGGATGTAGCAGGAGACATCTGTAAGTTGTTTGGGAAAACTCCTGAAAAAGCCATAGATTTTGTGCAGGACAGACCCTTCAATGACCAGAGATATTTCTTGGATGACCAGAAGTTGAAGAAGCTGGGATGGCAAGAGAGCACACCATGGGAAGAAGGGCTGAAAAAGACAATGGATTGGTACACCCAAAACCCTGGCTGGTGGGGCGACGTGGCTGCCGCTCTCGACCCACACCCACGTATCTCCATAGCCACTCATTCCAATGAAGATTCCTGGTTTTTCCAGTATGGATTCTCGAGATTAACAAGAACATGTAGTGAGATCGAGAAAGATCGTGGTTCGGGACTGAAGTTCTTGATCTATGGAAGAACTGGCTGGATTGGAGGTTTGCTAGGTAAACTGTGCAAGGAGAAGGGAATAGAATTCGAGTACGGCAACGGAAGATTGGAAGATAGAAGATCCTTAATTGAGGACTTAAGGCGAGTGAGGCCGACTCATGTGTTCAATGCTGCAGGGGTCACTGGAAGGCCCAATGTGGACTGGTGTGAATCACATAAGGTTGAAACAATAAGAGCTAATGTTGTTGGGACACTGACTTTGGCTGATGTTTGCAAGGAACAGAACCTCCTGTTGATGAACTTTGCAACTGGTTGCATCTTTGAATATGACAATAAGCATTCATTGGGATCAGGTGTTGGATTCAAGGAGGAAGATAAGCCAAACTTCATCGGTTCATTTTACTCCAAGACAAAGGCCATGGTAACAATTTCTTCTTCTTTTTTCTTTCTTTTTGAAGTTTTTCTCTTTAACATGTCTATAATTTTCAAACACATTGCTGATGGGTTGTTGGATTCATTGTCATGATATGCGATAATATATGATCCACTGATAACTTTGTCATAGTATTTTGCTCAATTCAACCCGTTATCTTATACATATTTGACATCTTTACAATGTCAAGATGCATATATTTTCCTTGAATTATTGACTTTGAGAAGTGATTGATGGCTAAACCATTAGAAGACCTTATCTAAGATAATTGCTCTACTCTTAACATTAAAAGTTTTCTGTCTTTAAATAGTGAGTTTGAAAATAAGAAAAATTGCTTCGATATCAATTTTGTATAGAAACGAGCCACTAACATGGCAATCTTTTGTTTTTCTACTCCAACCCTCATTTTAAATCGTAATTTTTCTTCATGTTATTTTGAAAGTAGCTGCTTCAATTTCAACGAGTCCAATTGTTGATATTCTTTTTCACTTGGCATCAAGCCAATTAGACGTTTGGATGAAAATCCGAACTATCCTTTGCGCGTTATTGAAAGATCTCGTTGCAATGGCTCAATTTTTGTAGGTTGAGGAGCTGCTGAGAGAGTATCCAAACGTGTGCACACTGAGAGTGAGAATGCCAATATCATCAGATCTAAGCAACCCGAGAAACTTCATCACAAAAATCAGCCGCTACAACAAGGTGGTGAACATTCCGAACAGCATGACGGTGCTGGACGAGCTGCTCCCGATCTCGATTGAAATGGCAAAGAGAGACTGCCGAGGGATCTGGAACTTCACAAATCCAGGGGTGGTGAGCCACAATGAGATCTTGGAAATGTACAAGAAATACATAGATCCAAAGTTCGTGTGGAAGAATTTCGACTTGGAAGAGCAGGCGAAAGTGATCGTCGCACCGAGGAGCAACAATGAGTTGGATGCTTCAAAGCTAAAGAAGGAGTTCCCTGAATTGCTGTCTATCAAAGACTCCATTCTAAAGTTTGTATTTGAGCCCAACAAGAAAACTTAGAAAGTGAACAAGAACAAGAAAGAGAGAAGAAAACAGAGAAGAAGAAGAAGAAGAGGAGGAGGAGAAATGAAATTGAGAATGGGATTTTTTTTGTTGGAGAAGTTTTGCTTTGGAATTATGGTTCATATTACTAACTTTCTACTGACATTCTGTTTTTGTATTTGTTAGGGGGGAGGGGATTCTTTTATATAATATATATATATATGGATGATCTTTCAAATTATTTATTGGAATAAGATTTCTTTTTTTTTTTGTTACGGTGGCGTTGGTATATACTCTTATACATCTGTTGCAATGGTTTCCATTGCAAAAATAATGGATCCAATTATTTCTAAGTTTAAATGTTGATTTGGTCCAGGACTTTTGTTTATTTTATTCTAAAATATTTATTATAGTTATTCAATTATAATAAAATATCAATTTTGACCCGTGTTGAGTCATCAATTTAACCCATAACTTTTTCAACACCAAATATTGTAGGATCAGACATTAAAGTTGTATCAATTTTTATCGTAATATTTACTAAAAAATAATTTAAACAACTCTGGAATTCATTGCACAAGATTAAGTTCGATTAATGGTTTGTATCTCATAAATTCAGTAAACTACCAATCACATTATGCCCGCCCTTGGGCAGGTCATCATCATTTGGGCAGCGGTCAGCTTTCCCGCCTATTTATATAACCACCGAAGCTTTCTGTTTCTCGCATTTCAATTAATTTCATCTCAGTTCCCTCCTCTTTCTAATAAGCATTTCAAGCGTCTCTGGTGAATTCTCCAGCTCCTCGTCAGAATCCGGCGTGTGCTGTCGCTCTAAAATAAGGTACGCCTCGTTCTGATCTTCACCATTAGAAGCGGTGTATGTAGCTAGCGATTTGCTCATAAAAAGGACTAAAATCATGTTGTTCTACTTTTTGGACTGGAGAATGTGGAGAGTTTAATCTTATTCGACTAGCCCTAATTAACCCGTAATTTTTTACGATTCGACTACAAATTTTTTTGTTCTTGAGAAGAACTTGAACGAATAGACAAAGAATCAACGAAGGATCGGAGCAGGGCAGATTATAGACTCGGTCAATGTCGACTCATGATCAACAAGGTGTGGTAAGCGTAATGGTTGATTGTTCATAGAATTGTTAGGGTAGCCAATAACAAGGACAGACTCGAGACTCCAGTGCGTGATTCCGAGGGAAAAACCGCATCGCGTGGCCGAAAGATCTCGTCGTTTTTCCCTGCTTAAAATTCTTGCGTACTGAGTAGCAACTAACGCCTTGATCCTCGATTCTTTGAAGATCGATCACAATTAATTAATCTGTGTTCTTTTTGGTTCAATATTGCAGGAAAAATGGAGTCAAGGAATCAATTAAAAGATCGAAGGATCTTCATACCTCACGGTAATCAAACTACAATGATCCTCTGCATTTTTAAGCGATTGATTTCAAAGCCCTCAGGCTTTTGTCGTTGATTAAACTTTATTTTCTTGCCTGATTAGCGTATCAGCGAGATGAAAGAGGGGGAGCTTCATCACCATACATTATTCAATGCAGCAGATTGTGGCTTCCGGAAGGGTGAGTTTCCTTTTTTTTCTTTTTTGAACTTTTTTCCGAAAGGGTGATCAGTTTGGTATTTGAGTCAAATTAACAAATGAGATAAAATAAATATGTTTTAAATTATAGAGAGACTAAATTATTATGTAATAAAATACAATTACATAATTGGTTGAAGTGTTGGGATTCGAACTTATTGACTTTTAGTTCAAAATAGATAATTTTTAAGTAGTTGAATTAGATTTAAATGGAATGTAATGATACTTTCTATTATATATGATAAGGATTAGATTTTCAAGGCAAAATAAATCTGTAAGTATTTTCAAGCTTTCTAATATTTAAGTTGGTATGAGTTTTATTTTGGACGTTTTTTTCAGATGGAAAACGAGAAACAAGAATAATAATTCAAATGCTTATATTTCTAGAAAATAAAAAATGAAGAAATTGGGCTGACCTTCCTCTCTTGTTTTTGTCTCAATGACTCGAGGACCAATACAAAGAACGCTAGCCCATTTTTCTTCCAAGGGTTTCTGTTAAACTAATTGAGATCTCAATAGGGAAAAGGTCTAGCCATCATCATCATCATCAAAACTCTATAAAACCTTGGCACTGCTTTTATTATTTCGTTTTCTTTTACTAAGTTTCATAAAAAAAAATTTCTTTTTTTTTTTTTAGAGAAAAAGGAACTTCAATAAAGAAAACAAGCCCCGTGAGCTATAGAAGAAGACATTTCTTGATGTGTAAGGAAATGGATCGTGGGAGGAAGTTTTCAAGCCAAAAACAAGAAGTCATGGTACCAACACTATGCTTTGCTGACCAATCGGCCGGCCGGTTGAGCTCCTTGGGGACATGGGCAACGTCGAAACCATGGAGGACATTAACCAGCAGATAGATATCGTGGAGCCAAACACCTTTCGGACCAAGGGAGGGAGACCGATTTTTGATAAGTTGGACCGCAACAAGAGAATCGGAGTAAACACGAATCTTGTGGTGACCAAGAGATTTAGCAAATCGTAGGCACTCGAGGATTGCGCAAATTTCAACAAGGAGAGGACTGAAGGAGACCTCGAGGAAACTGGAATGGGCGGCCAAAATTCTTCCATCGGGATCCGTAATAATCGCTCCTAGACCTGTTCCTGATTGATGCCCACCACAAGCCGCATCTACGTTGAGGAGAATCTAGTCGGTATAAGGGGAAGCCAAAGTCGATTATCAAACCGGCGATGAGATTCACAACGAGGCAACAAATTTGTGTTGGAAGAAATTGTAGTCAAACGAGCCTTCTCAGCATAAGAGGTAATCCAAGTACACTTCTCTGATAAAGTTGGAATTTGTTTCCCAAGAACAATCATTCCAAATTGTCGAGGTCAAAACAGCAGCGAGACTACGAGGACCAAGAAGCTTATGCCATAGGTCGGCAAACGAAGAGAGGCCAACCAGAAGAATATTGGGGAAAAAATAGCGCCAGATTTTCCGAGATGGACTAAAAAAAAGAGGGCGTGAATGACAGTCTCCGGCTCAGAATGACAAAGGGGACAAATAGTGATTAGGAAAACCATGATATAATTGGAGAAATCATTACTTTGATGCTAAGAAAACACCTTTAAATATTTAGATTTTACTTTAAAAACTTCAACAACAATTGTCATATAACATCGACATGTCAATAATATAACATCGACTACATGGTCGGAGATTCGAGTCCCCATCTTTACATGTTGAATTTTGTTGATGTGTGTTTCTTACTGAGGTGACATGTCAATAATAGTCCTACATGACCGAACTTGATCATTGCTGGCACCTGCAGTAGAAGTTCTGTCACTGCAGGTGTTGTATTGTGCTCGTTTTAACATATGTTGTATTAGATTTTACCCCATAATAAACTAAAAAAATGTAGTTTCTAAAAGCAGTAATTTAAACCGATCTCTTTTATTATTTATGAGTTTAAGAATGATTTAGAAAGATGCTTTTATTTTTCAAGCTTTATTTATTTCTTGTACATATTAATTTAAAACACAACACATTTGATTTTTTTTCAACAATAGGAAGGAGGTGAGAATGGTCAAAACTAAGGGCAAAATGTGCTCATTACTCTCCACATTAAATTTAGGTCCCATTTGCTTAAAGGTCACTCCCTTTACCAATAAATTTTCCCTTATTATTAGCTCAATTAAACTTGTTCCTTAGAAAAAGAAAAGAAAAGATATGAATGGTAGATTCAAATAGGTGTCATCATTAAAGCTAGGGTTTCAAAAGTTTTAATGTAGAATATAAAAGGGTCCCACAAAAAAAAAAAAAAGGTGATATGACGATAAAGTTTACTAAACTCTAATATTCTTTACCATATGAATATGTTTTTGTACTCTATCCAAAAAAGTTTCCATGGGCGTAATATTGTCATTATTTGTAAGTTCACAGTCCCAATTTTACGTTTAGATACTATTTTTTTTATCTTTGTAATTTTAAAATCTTCATTGTCCATTTTATTCTTCGATGAAGATTAGAATTTGGTTCGTTTGGTAATGTTTATGTTTCTTCTTATTTTAGTTTTTCTTAATATAGAAAAATATAATTACATTGCTACAACACTCATATATGCAAGAATGATAAAAAACAAGTTTTCTATTTATGTTGGAACATATTGGAAACGGAAACAAACAAGTTTCTTGTTTGTGTTGTTTCCAACACTTTTATACAATTTTGAAAATATTTCTAAAAAGTGAGAAACAAGAGACGTAAATAGTTGTTGGATGTTTAGATTTCTTAATAAAATTGAAAACGAAAAACAAGAAACGAGATCATTTATGAAACAGACTCTTAATGAGTGAAGCGTCATGCTAAAATTATGGTTGAAAGAAATATTATAAAAATAAAAATGAAGGGACTAAAAGACCAAAATAGATGTTTTGAATGTACGTTGACCAAAATAATATTTTGAAAGTGATGAAACCAAAATAAAATTTAAATTTAAATTGTATCTTTTCATAAATGTATGATCTCAGAATGTTTGGTGTTGAAAAGGACTAAAATAAAATATATTAAATTGATGATTTAAAATTTATTTTTACATTATAATATGTACTTAGCTTATATAATTTGGATGGATTCTCTCATGTCATTAGCTTAACAAGCAAAAAACTGTTAAATAATTTATTTTGTGTGCACTATTGTTCATGTGATGCATTTGATAATTAAACTTTTTGAGACTAAACATATTGGGAGAATTCCCAATAATTTGATTGATGCCTTTGCTTTCATCTTTTATCAATTACATTCAAACCAAAGATTTATTCCCAACAAATTTTCATCATTCTTTTATAAAGTTCCTGAAAATCAGATGAGCATCATGATTTTGCTTGCTTGTTTAATACCAAAAAAATGGGGATCTTCAATGATTTATTCTATTTACTTACTAGAGCTCCAATATAATTTTTTTATTGTTGCTATGAATTATCTTTTTGAAGTCGATTGTTTTTAGAGATCTGAAATAATTTATAAATATTAATATTTGAACAGCTAGGTTTGTTTAGCTATCTAGATTTGAGATATTATTTATAAAAAATCATGTATGATGAGATATTCTTTTTTTGGGTGAACTGTTTTTGTTTCGAAGGAACGATTTATGTAAAATGAATCTAGGGAATGATTAATCTTAAAAATGGAAATTTTTTTAAATTTAATACTTTTTAAAGTTTTTTATCTATTTTTTTTTTTTGGCAAAAAACTAAATTACATGTAAAAGAAAACAAAAATGGGAGTTTTGTTGCTAGTAATGGTATTAGTGGGCATGCAACGAAAATGAGTGGGAGAATAAAGAAATATGGGTTTCATGTGCTTAGAGAATAAATTCCCTTTTTTTTTTCCCCCTTTTTATTTCTTTGGGCCCACTGGATGGAGCTTCACTCTGTTTATCACTTCAATTTCCCAAAATAATCACAAAGTAAAATCACTTATTTTCTTTAAGATTTAAATACTATTTTGATACTTAYTCCTTTTAATATTGTATTTTCAAAAAGTCCATTAATTTGGCAAAATTTTAGACACAATAGAAATTCTTAACATATTTTTATAAGTACCGATTTTTCTGAATATTTTGTTGATGGGTTTAGACATTAATTGTTTTGAACTTGTGACTAGGTTTGTTCATAATTTGATTTTGGACATTTTAGTGGTTTAATTTACAGTATTTTATTAGTTGGATTTTACACAATTTAGTAATTCATCCGTAGAAGTAGAGATATCTTACTGTCTATGTGACGTCATTTTGTTTTGAACGATTGTTAACTGTTTCTGTTTTCGTTTATAATTTTTAAACGTTTTTAACTGTTGTGTAGAAATTTTGAAAGTAACACAATCAAATTTCTTTSTTTCTAGTTATCATTTCCATTTTCTTTCCAATATGATAAAAGCATAATTTTATCRTTTTTTATTTTTAAAATATATAATAAATATAACATAAAAAGTTAAAACATTTAATTTAAACATGTAGGACTGGAAGACTGAACTCACGACCTTCTGATATATGTCAATTACCACATAACTATTCTCACTTTAGCTTCCAATTTTTTTTTTTAAATATAAATAAAAAATATTAGTTTATCATTCTTGACTTGTAAATAACAAGAAATTGTCTGTCAAATGTAATTTTTTTAATCAGAAAAAAATGAGAAAATAATAAATAAAAACGTTACTAAGCATACCCTCTAAATGAAATCCAGCTATATTATTATTTTAAAAATGCACCTATTTTTAAAATATCTAACAATAAAAGAATACAAAAAACAAAATCACTAATCCCTTTCGCTTTACAGAAATATTTTTCTTTATTTATTTATTTTATTTGCCTTACTGTCATGCACTTTACCATTTGCTTCGTCGAACGTCTCAAAAAGTATGGTATGGTAATGGAATCGCTCTAGTTTCTCTCTCTAATTTCTCTCTCATTGAATCCTCCACTCCGATTCCGAATCTCTCCCTTCTTCCGGTTCACCTCACTGAGTCAACTCACCCGCCATTTCCAACATTTCTCCTTCCTTCTCTCGCTTTCCCTCTTCATTGCCCCATTCTCTCTTCTGCTTCAGTCTTCGTTTTCTTTTACTGATTCGGTGTTTTCTCAAACTGTTGCAGTGACATCAAGTTTTCTTCTTGTACTTATTCACCTCCATTTTGGAACTTCTCCATTTCGATGATTCCCAGGGAGATTGCTAAATTACAAATCTTCCTTTCTTCCCCACTCTTAATTTTGCCTTTCACTCATCCCTTTTGATACGGGACAATTTTTTTCCTTCGTCGTCCGGGTTAGGGTTTTGTGTCGAAAATATGTCGGTTGATGGGAAGGGGAAGAAGAACAATATCGAGAATTTGGTGTCTGCTACAAGATCACTGAAGATTAGCTTAGACAAATCCAGGGCTCTAGGGTTGGCGTTGCAGAAAGCGGGGCTCAGATTGGAGGAGATTAAACAAAGATTGCCCACTTTGGAAGCTGCTGTGCGACCAATTCGTGCCGATAAGGAAGCCCTCGTCGCCGTCGGCGGCCATATTAATCGGGCGGTGGGCCCTGCGGCGGCGGTGCTCAAGGTTTTCGATGCTGTTCATGGGCTTGAGAAGTCTCTGTTATCGGACCCGCGCAACGATCTCCCTGGTTATTTGTCGGTGCTGAAGCGGATGGAAGAGGCATTGAGATTCTTGGGAGATAACTGTGGGCTCGCAATCCAGTGGCTGGAGGACATTGTTGAGTATTTGGAAGACAATACGGTTGCTGATGAGCGATTTCTTGCGAGTTTGAAGAAGTCGCTGAAGAATCTGAGGGATTTGCAGAGCGATGAGGAGAGGACCCGGCTTGATGGAGGGCTTCTCAATGCTGCTTTGGATAAACTAGAGAACGAGTTTAGGCGTCTTCTAATGGAGCACAGCGTGCCCCTCCCCATGGCAGCGTCCTCCGCGTCTCTGGGTGAGCAAGCTTGCATTGCCCCATCTCCATTGCCTGTAACTGTTATTCAGAAATTGCAAGCCATCCTAGGGAGATTGATTGCTAATAAAAGACTTGAGAGATGCATATCCATTTATGTTGAAGTTCGTAGTTCGAACGTTCGGGCTAGTTTGCAGGCGCTCGATTTGGATTACTTGGAGATATCGGTTTCTGAATTCAATGATGTGCAGAGCATTGAGGGGTACATTGCAAAATGGGGAAGGCATTTGGAGTTTGCAGTGAAGCACTTGTTTGAGGCAGAGTTCAAGCTTTGTAATGATGTTTTTGAGAGGATAGGATTGGATGTGTGGATGGGCTGTTTTGCAAAGATAGCAACTCAAGCAGGTATTCTTGCATTTCTTCAATTTGGGAAAACTGTAACAGAGAGCAAGAACGACCCAATTAAGCTATTGAAGTTGTTAGATATATTTGCATCCTTGAACAAACTGAGACTGGACTTCAATAGGCTTTTCGGGGGAGCTGCGTGTTCGGAGATTCAAAACCTGACAAGGGATCTCATTAAGCGGGTTATTGATGGTGCGGCCGAGATTTTCTGGGAACTTTTAGTTCAGGTGGAGTTACAGAGGCGAAATTCTCCACCTTCAGATGGGGCAGTTCCTAGGTTGGTCAGCTTCATTATTGATTACTGTCATAAACTGCTGAGCGACGATTATCGACCAATCCTGATCCAGGCCCTGGTCATTCACCGGAGTTGGAAAAAAGAAAAGTTCCAAGAGGGTCTTCTTGTCAGTGAGATTTTGAACCTCGTTAAAGCCATTGAGCTGAATTTGGAAACCTGGATAAAGGCTTATGAAGATCCTATCTTGTCAAATTTTTTTGCGATGAACAATCATTGGCATCTATTTAAGCACCTCAAAGGAACGAAATTGGGGGAGCTACTCGAACTACGGGAACTAGGTAGAGATCCTGTAAAGGAACATGAACAGTACAAGGATTACCATGGCGCAGTTTTCTTGAGGGATAGCTGGAGTAAACTTCCCAGCCATTTAAGCAGGGAGGGTTTGATTATGTTCTCAGGTGGGCGAGCTACTGCCCGCGATCTTGTGAAGAAACGTTTAAAGACATTCAACGAAGCTTTCGAGGACATGTACAAGAAGCAGTCAAACTGGATTATAACTGACAAAGAATTGAGGGATAAGACATGCCAACAGATAGTTCAAACCGTCGTGCCTGTGTATCGCAGCTATATGCAGAATTATGGCCCCCTGGTCGAGCAAGACGCGAGTTCCAGTAAGTATGCAAAATACACCGTGCAGAATCTGGAGAAAATGTTACTGTCCCTTTTTCAGCCAAAGCCACTTAGGTTCAGCAGCCTTCAAGTTAGGCAGACCAGTGGGAAATTCAGCAATGGCGCAGCAGATCATCGACGATCCAACTCCATGGTTATGTAACCATCCAATCCAACCATTTTTATGCTGTGTATAACCTTGGAAGAAGCTGCATCCTCTTTGATGGACGACCAGGTTCGATCCTATAATTCCGAATCGCAGACGTAACACCTTGAACCCGTTTTGTGTAATCTCTTGATTTAATGCAAAGGAGAAAAGCTTTTTCTGAATGGTGTCATCAATCTAATCTATTGCTTTTCTCCAACGAATCATCGATGGGGGCTCGGAAACTTTTCATTAGCCTGCAGTGAGGAATGAAATACCGGCTCCCTTGCTCATGAGGATCCATCAAAAGGCTTTGTGGATGATAGAAGATCAGGTTTGTAGATGATACTTTTTAAGATATAGCTATTTTTATTCCATTTCCCTTCACTCATTGATTAAGCAAGCCAGATGGGCAGCAGAAATAGTGTAGTTTGTTAGATTTTTGAGATTCTTTAACATTAAACATATCATATCTATGTAATCCAACTTCTTTACTCATAATAATTAGGGAGGAAGAAGAAATTTTATTATAAATTAAAAGCCATCAACCCTGTTTTTAATGCCTGATAATTCTATTTTCTGTCTGTTTTTTATGAGAATAGTTAGCAAATAAGAAAAATCTTTGATGTCTATCGGGTTTCACTTTCAGATCTTTGGTCAATTTCTTCTATCTCATATTAAATTCTGCAGTTTTCTGCAATTGTTAATGTGATCTTAGTTTTTCAATGGTTTCACGTCAGCTCTTTGTTTTTCTTCTTTGGTTCTTCCCCCTTGTTTTTTCCTCCCCTCGTGATCCACTATCCTTATTTTCTTGGTTTTTGTGGTAAAAAGTTAAACTTGTTCACTCAAATTATTTTTGGTTTGAAAATAGGTAACTTGAAAATTACTCCATCCAACTTTCATAAATAAATGCTTAAATCATTTATGGGCTTTGTTCTATTTTGATCATTAAACTATTTTAGTCGAAATCATTTTAGTCTCTGCATCTTAAAACGTTCGTTTTAGTCCTTAAACTTAAAAAAGTTATCACTTTGGTCCTTGTTTTTCAATAAGCTAGTAGATAGGAGTTGTGGTCTTTGTGATAAAATATGTAGTCATCACGCGATTCGACGTGTTGTAAATAGGCTGGCAAACAAGTGGGGTCATTGGATCAAGCACAAAATAAAAATGGGTCGATGTTTAGGATTGGAAACATGTAGAATTTTACGTCGGATTGATATTTGAAATCTTATTTTCTTATCAACGAAACCATCTTTTTCATTGAATTTAGAATTGGATGATAATTGAAAAGGAGTATTTTCAATTTTAGGTACCAAACATAATCATCTAATTTCTTCATTTTCCCCCACATATGAAACATGGTAAATAAATTTTGCTTTGTTAGGAGTAGAGAGAGAGACAAATCCTTAGAAATGTTTGAAGAGAATGAAGCATTTGGGGTCAGTCCTTTTCGTTGACCAAGTTTTTAACCAATCAAATTGTGTTCCCTAAGGCATCAAACTGTACTTGGGGTTTATGTTAAGCTTACCGCACAGTGATTTTCAGAAAATAAACAACCAATTAAAAATTCACAAGTGCTCTTTGAATCTTTGTCGGCCACCAACCCCTAAGGAAAAGCCTCCACCATCGAATTTTACTTGTCATTGATTGCATTTCTTGTCAAAGGGGTCTCTTTATTTTAAATCTATGCCGTGCCACGTGTCTCTCCAACTTTCTACTCGGCATAAATGTCAAAGCGTTCTCTTCATTTTACTTGGGTTCTTGTATTCTTAAAATATTCATTAAAGATCTTCGTATTTTTAAAAGGTGATGATTTTGATTCCTTTAGTTTAACAATTTTAGTATAATACCTTATTCACAAAATTTTTTTATTGTATATAAAATTTATATTAAAATTTTACAAATTATGAAACAAAATAGTAAATTTTTAAAAAACATTTTGAAAATACAAAAGTTAAAATGAGTAAAAATTAAAAGTATAAAATCTAAAATAAATATTTTAAAAAAATCAAAATAAACCAAACTAAAAGAATAATAATAATACTAAAAGTTTAACTTTACCTCCAATCTATGTATTGGTTTTAAGGGAAAAACCACGTGTAGACAATTTAATTGCGGGTAAATTTTAAACTCTTAATAATAGGGACATTTAAAAATATTCAAAATGCCAACTTTTTAACCCTAATTTAACCCATTTGTCTACCTTACCCACCAACCAAATCCACTTCAATATTAAGTCGTCTAGTTATTCATCAAATCAATATTATTTTCTCGATGGGAATTCAAACTTCTAATATCATAGGGAGGATCACTCATGCTTTCACCAATTGAATTATATTGAAATCAATAACATCCACCAAATAATTAACATTAGTGATACGATCCAAATAGATATATAATACAAAATTTAGAAGCCTATATAACTTTAACGTCAACGTAGCTCAACTAATTAAAATACATATCATTAATTGTTGATAGAGAAATATGGAGTGCCACGTGTAGCCCTTGCGGAGACGCGTGTGGTCCCATGACTCATGAATAGAAGGGTACCGAGCGCATATAGCCAAGGTCAACTGCACTGTATAGGTGTATGAATATGGTTAGCTCTCCTAGCACTCAGAACTCACGATACGTTAGGCATTCTGTTGGATCGTTGTCCATGCATGACGTCGTTGTGCACCTATGAAAATTCAAAAGGAGGTATAGAATGTTGGGGTCCCCCACGAATCTCATAGATACTTGTTATTCCACGTGATTCATACCCACTTGCTCTCATCTTGATGAGTGCTAACGTACACATCAAAATGCAATTGGCCGAGCAACACACAAATACTAAATTTCTGTGTTCAAAAGACGATGTAGGCGTCGTGACATTTGCATGGCAACATACATGGAACTTACCAAGAAACTAATATGAACATTAATAAAAAATCAAAAGTTGGAATCTTTAAATCGCTGCAACTCGTTAAAAGATTAAAAAAAAAAAGAATCCTAATTTTAATTAGGGCCGTACAAGAAGAGATGAAGATTGAAGACTAAATGGGAGGCTTCGTGGAGGCCGTTGTGGGCTCCACGGCGGCTCGTACAGTTCAACCAAAAAGATTTTTCCTGACCCCATCGAGATCCTCTCTATTTTGTCTCAGTTTTCCATTTTTCCATCAAGTCCCCCATTTTTATCTTTATTTCATTTGGATCCTTACACTTTTAAATATTTCCATATTATTTTATACTTTTAGTCCTTCATCTCTACGCTTTACCAAAATTTTAAAAGAAAAAGAACAGAAGAAAATAAAATCAAATTTTGTTATTGTATTTTGGCTGCAAGTGTCCTTATGATTAAATGGGACTATTTATTGTAGTTATTGATTTTCCAAATTGTATTTGATATATTTTTTAATTTAATAATTGTGGGGTTGGAGATTGGATCGTCAAACCTCAAAGAACGGTAATTGATATCTTATCTATTTAGATACGTCTAGATTAGCCTATGCTTTTAATTAGTTGATTTTCGATATTTTGTTGCTCAGCGTTTCTTATAGACTTCATTTTGAAAAGTCTATTAATTATTTTAACAACATCTAGAAAAGAGCAAGATATGTTATAATCGTTGAGCTATGTTCGTGTTGGTAGTAAAAGATGTAATTTTTATTATTTTTTTTAAAACAAGTAAAAGATGTGCTTAACTAGGTTTCATTAAACAATTTACAAAAGTTAAGGATAAAGATTAAAATATCCTTTTTAATACAAAGTTTAAGACAAAAAAATAAAATTTTTGAGAGAATGAAATGGATATAAATGTTTTAGGGACAAAATTTAAATGATTTGGTTCGATGATCACTTTTTTTCTTGAGAATCTTGACCCTCGACATCTCTCCATTAAATTTGATTCTCTTAAAAAAAAACTAATATAATGTTAGTCTTTCATTTGGACATTTGATCTATAAATAAATATAATATATAATCGTCGATTAAGTTGGTAAATAAACATATTAAATATTTTTAAATGATATGAAACTCTATGATAAAATTAATGTTCAAGGAAATTCTTGTTTCTATTAAATTTTTTTTCCTCTATGTGTGTGCACATATGACATCTTAACTCGAGAAATTAAAATAAGAACATCAAATCATTTTTCTTGACCCTTTTCCAAATTTCATTTAAATATGTTGGTTGAATCGTATATGTTGTGTTGTTTTAATGTTACACTTTAAGTAGTATTTCCTATTTAATTTATTAAATTCTATATTCATAGTCGCAATTAGATCTATTCATTTTAAATAATTAATTCTACATCTCTTATCTAATCATACACATACATACATTATATATTATATTAGATTTAAACATATTTTAGAACATCTATCTAATCCTTAAATTTTCCATCGTCCTAAAATAAGGTATGACCTAAGTATTTATTATTTCATCCATCCTTAAAGTTGAATATCGCATTGCATAATTGTTTTTTATTCCATTCACATAAATTAATCAAGAAAAAAGCACAAATTATCTTTTATCCGGCATGATCTCAATAATAAATAAAACATATAAATCCATCATTTTTTTTTAATTACATCACGTTGAGAATGAAGTTTAGGTTTGAGTTGATTTATTATATTTGAGCGGCTACTTGACAGTTAGCGATTTATTATAGATCTCAACTATCAATACAGTCTACTTGAGATTTATTTTATAAATGTATATTAAGATTTTTTATTTTTTATTTTGTAGTGTTGTGTTTATCTGCTTTAGTTATGTTTTCTTTCTTGTTCATGTCCCTCCATCATTTTTAGCTGATCTCTTTGTTCCTCTAGTGCCTTAGTCTCAAGCAGTGAGATCCATCTTTTTTCTTACAAAATACGATAAATCCATCATTTCTTTAACGTCTCTTTTGACTTGATACTAGGGTGAAACATATATCTTCTCATTGGCTTATGAAATGGGGAAACAAATAATTTGTTCAATAAAAAAATGGTTTAAAAAATCGTTATCATATATAAATATAGAACAAATACTTGAAGTTACGACTTTTTGAATAAAAAGATTATTAATATATTTTTTTTTTTTTAGAAAAACATGTGAGAATGAGATTGGAACTTACAATTTTTTGATTGGAAATATCTGTCAATTACCATAGTTATACTCACTTTGAGAAAAGATTATTAATGTCATAGTCAACTTACCTATATTAGGTTGGTATTCTTTTATCATATGTGATATATAATAAAAGTTAAATAAGTGCATGTATAATAATGCTTATTATAAAGTCAAAGAAGGATAGTGGGAGAAAGATTAGGATGGGGAAGTCAAGATAGATGGACACAAGGGCTTATCTTCTAGAATTTTATTGAAATTATTGGTGGTTCAATTAAATAGGCAAAAGTAGATTTGATTTCATTATATCTGTATGGGGGAAAGAATACCCTGGACACGTGGAGGACAGCCATTGGTGCCCCAAGGTGACCATGAGTCATGCCTCAGCTCGGACCGCCGAGATCACCACCACTAGCGTTGACAGATGCTAAGTATGAGGGCCGAGGTGAACCTGGCCGAGGTCCGACCTATCGGGAAGCTCGGTGGGGGTCGATGTGAGCTACTGTCAGCGGCGTGATTATCGGGTGTAACCGACGGTCCCGAGATTACCGGGTGTAACCGTCGCGAGATTAGCGGGACTAGCACCCATAAGTAGAGGACTTCACTCCACGATCAGGTACGATGATTTCTGACCTCGAACTAAACTGGGAATCCGACTTATACTGACTTGATCGTCGGAGTGCTCATCTTTTTGTGCAGGTCCGCCCAAGTATTCAGATCGGTCCGGAGGCCGAGTTCGAGCTGCAATCTGAAATACACTGTTGTGCATATCCTTGCATAAACAATATCCATAGAATTAAAAACAAGACAAATATTGGTGGATAAGCACTCTCAATTCATTAATTACCCAATTTGATAATTTCTTTTTCCCTTTTTTTTCTATCTTGTTTGGAATTAGAGTTATTGCCTAAATATTTAAAGCAATAAAGTATATGAAAAAGGTATTTATGTCATTTCAGATGTGAGAACAAAAAATTAGGATAAGGTTTTGATTCATATGAAGATATAAAATATGTTTTGTTCATATCATTAAGTGAATGGAGAGGAAAATAAATCGACATTATCTAATAATTTATTCAAGTTGAGATTTTTTAACCTTTTGTATCATAGAAGATTGTTTAGTTTTTGTGTAATCCAATATCAAGATTAGAGTGTTGTTTATCTCCATTTAATCCTATTTTAAAGAAAAAGTTCAATCTAAATTACAATTGAGATGTGGAAAAAAGATTGATTTAATGATAATATTAGAGCTTATATATTTTAGAAAACAACTAATTTTATACTATTATCTGTGGTTGTTAACATGAACATAACTTAACGACAAAGACATATATAACTTATTTCTCGAAGGTGGTGATTCAATTTTTCACACCACGTTAAAACTCTACTATGTTCACCAAAAGCATAAACATGAAAGTATCATTATTGTTGTAAGATAATATTTTTCTTACCTGATATATGTTATGTGACGGTAAAAATTGAATAAAGTTAGTAAATTGTATTTTTTTTTTCCTTTTTAGTTCAACTGCGATGAGGATTCAAATATCGAACATTTTTTTTAAGTACAACATATTGGAAAGAGAATTCGAACTTACAACCTCGATCAGAAGTATATGTCAATTATTACTGACCTAAGTTCTCTTTGCAAAATGAAAAATGGACGGGAGATATCTGAAGCTTTAAAATTTCATTGCCATTAAAAAAAGATTGAAAAAAAAAGACAAGTACCTAACTATATGAACAAAGTGGAGCCCCTTAATTTATTTTATCCAATTAAAGCAAACACGATAAGGTTTTTTTTAATCTCTCTCTGTTAGGTTGGTCTGACGTTTCTCCTTGGGCGGGCCCCTCTCCTTGCCACGTCATCAAGAAAAGTCAAACGTGTCCGATCGTTTTAATCTTCGTGTTTTTGTTTTGCAAATTACTACCCTACCCTTTCCTTTCTACTGATAAAGAAATCAATAAAAAAGAAAAAGAAAAAGAAAAATACCGATAATAAAAAAAATGTCATAATGTAACATTCATTGCAGAAAATTTTCAAATGATTCAAGTTTTAATTACTCAGCCAACTTGGTTAAAAAAAAAAAAAAACTTAGTCAAACCTTTTTTTTAAAAAATAGTTAAACCAACTTATATTTTTTTTTTCCGAACTCACAACTTCTTAATTGAAAATATATGTTAATTACCGTTGAGCTAGACTCGTTTTTAATACTTAATCAATTTGTTAATAATCAAAATATTCTAATTTTCCATCCCCACATTTGTAATATTATATTTATAAAAAAAGTATTTAGTTGGATTTAAACATTCAAAGATATTTGTAGCACATTTTATGTCAACCCGAATGTAACTTAATTAATTGGTTAATATATTAGTAATTTTTACTAAAAGTTACGGTTTGAACCTCTAAAGCTGAAGCTTCAATCTCTCTTCCCAGAGCATGACCCTACTCAACAGATTAAAATGTATATTTTTGACAAAAAATTGTGAGTTCGAATCTACACTCCATATGTTGTTGGACTTTACAAAAATTCTCTCATACCACACTTTTTACACTGAAAAAGAAAAAAAAAATCTCACTCACTTGATTAAACCCAAAAAAAAAATAATTAAAAAAAGTTTTGATGACTGGAATAAAAAATAGTAGATTACTTTATTTTGATTATAATATAACCACAAATGGGAGAGTAAAGTTTTGAATTTTCAATCCATAAATAAATAAATTAATTAAATACCTTAATCAGGAAGTTGTATTCAAATTCAACTTTTTTTTTCTTATCTCGAAGAGAGAGATCGATTTTTTTTTCTCTTACCTAAATTCGGATTGACTAATTTATTGTGGTAGATATGGTATTGATCTTATTGATAATAAATTAAGCTAATTAAAGGAGAAGATTGAATAATTGAAATTTAGGGCAATACTTTCCATAATATGAACATAATTTAATTGGTCGAAATTAAAAATTCAATTTTTCCTTTAAATTAAAAGAAAATAAAAAATCAGTTGCTTCCCTTTTGTGCAGCGCCTTTCTTTTACGGATCGCATTTTCTCCTTCCATTTTGTTCCCCTCTCTCCTCTCTCTCTGGTAAGGCCAATCACTGTCTCTGACCCACCGTTTCATACCAACAACCAAGCTTGTACCGGCGGACGGCGACGGCGACGGCGAGCCCTAGAAGAAGGATAACGCGAACGTCCT